ATAATAAATATATTATATATTATTAATTAACAAAATATAATAATAATATTTAATATTAATATCTAAATAAAAAATAAATATTAATTAAAGAATTATATTTAATTATATTTTTATTTTTCCATCCAATTTCCATTTTTCCCTTTTTATATCAATATTTTGTTGGCATAATAAATAGCAAAAAATTCAATATTAATATATTAAAAAAAAAAATTTGAAATATTAATAAATAATATGTTTTTCATATTTTATTATATATTTGCAATTATTTGTGTCAATTTATCCTGAACCAATATCCCAAAGATATACAATTAAAATCAACTAAATTTATTAAATTTCTCATCCTAACATATTTATCTCATACATCCCTCTTTTGAATTTCGCCAGAACAACTCTCCATGTTACACCACGCATTTGTGCCAACCCATCCTGAACCAATGTCCCAAGATATACCACAAACGACTCATGACTCAATTTTGCAAACCCATCCTCGTCCTACACCTCTCAAAATTTCAATGTTCACCTTATAGGCGGGAAAAACGTCTGCATTTTGAGCCACTTGGGAGCCTTGCAAGAAGACACAATTATAACATATGTAAAAAGGCACCAAAAGCTAAAAAGCTGAGGCCTAGCATTCTTGAAGCTAAATTTGGCTGACATCTGGCTAAAAATTGACACCTACTTTCAGCCAGGAGCCCCAGACGGGGATATATTATATAATATTAAATTAGTAAATATATTTAATCTTATATATTGAATATACAATTATACAATTCAAATATTTATTTATTAAAATATATATATAATATTATATATATATAATGTATATATATATATATTGTGTTTAATAGATTTATGTGTGTATATATTCAAATCGAAATACTAGTACTTATAAATAAATTCGGAAATTCAAGATATAATTCATGAAAAGGATATCATTAAATTTGGGAAATTCCTATTATCTCATGTATCATATTTCATTTGATATATATATATCATCATATATAGTAAGTTTAAAGGAACATGATATGATATATAATTATATAATTATATGTTTTGGAAGGTCCCATTGCTCATGTTCGCACAAATCCTCAAAACATCTCAAAACGGTTTCTGCAATCACTCAAATTACTGTAGATCATATGCAAAGGAATCTCTTAATGTGCACATGTTTGATTGTTGCTGTGGTCTTAATAATCTTCATACTAGTACTGCCAAACATTTGATCTTTTCCATTCTTGGCAACATGTCCAACTAATGGCTGTAGATATGTTTGGCTGAAATATTCATCCCTTCTTGTGGCTAGAAATTCAGCAAGCTTTACCCTCTGGTAAACTAACATAACTATGGGAAATCACCATTTTCAATGGGTAAATCCACTATAAATGGGCCATTTTCAATAGCTATGTTAGTCAGTACCAGAGGGTACCCAGAATCCGTGAGGAACAGCAAGTGCCAGGCGTTTCTTTTTTCGCAGCTTCACACCCGCTGGGCCGGGCCGCGGCCATCCGCACACAGATGAAACCAGTTCAGCCAGCCCGTTGTTGGGTCCTTGTTCAGACTTGAGTTAAATATGTGGCAACGACAACCGATGGATCATGAAATCCATCCGTTTTTTTTTGAGAATGAGGCTTGGCCTATGAAGAATCATCAGGTGGTTGGCGATCGGATCTGGTAATCACCTCATATCTAAATCCCATTGCGATCCGTTACCATCCCCCGAACAGCGGCTGAGAATCGCCCATCCAGATCAGATCTCGGTAGCCAATATGATATTCGTAGTTACAAAAAGCTACCAATTTATTAACCAATCAGCATAAAACTGCTTGGCATTATAGTGTCATCAAGATATCCAACCAACCATTACTGTATTATATGATATTAATTGATATTATATGTATAACATCATTATAACATATTCATGCCAACATTATAATATATTATAATCATTCAAATCTATATATTGACTATCAATGACCATATTGACGCTCTCCAACTTCGGCCCCACATTGGAATTTGCTCCACTTCGGCCTCCGAAAAAAACACGCGGGCTGAACTGGTGGAAGGCGCTGAACAGCCTGTCATCCCATATGGCTGGCCATATCCCGAAGAATTCACCAACCTCTGGGGAAAGGCCCTCATCTATCCTCATCTCATATCAATCCCTTATCCCCATGTTCCCATCATACCAGATGGTTCATGGTTATATTCAAAAACTGTTCTTACCGGCTGGAGATTTTACAAACCACAGTCCTTTCACCAATGGCAGGAGTCCTTTCAACACCGTCCCGACTCCCCGCTGCGGCGGCGAATCGCGCGTTTTAGGCCCGAAGTGTCCATGGTGAAAACACTGGGCTGAACGTACTGCTAACATATGTAATGTCAACCCCGGATTAATGAACCCCTGGTTTATTAATTAGGGGAGTACCCTTCCAATAGTCATAATATGATACTTAAATGGTACCCTCCCAATTAAACAATCTAGGGGTTTATTAATCCAGGGTTGACATTACATATGTATGTGAATGACTATAATACAGTAATACATAGTCATGCTATATGCAAATTGTGTACGTGTAATGCAAGTATGAATCTCCATGCGATCTGCGTATGAATCCCCATGTAAATAGGACATGGGAGACACCTGGAAAAGTCAGGAATAACATACAATCTAGAGCATACTGGACAAACGTGTTCATAGTGTTCATGTTTTTGGATACCATGTTGGTAATCCCCTGTGCACATCCCGACTGATCCCTCTCCCCTTTTGGAGGGTTTATGATCCAGTTCCCAACCGGAGGAACTCCTGGGTCTTTTGGTGTCAGAACAAAGTCGTCATCCGTCCAGTTATCTGAGATGCCCACCCTGCAACAAAAAGATACAAATACCATATCCAACAGCCGGTGAGTCAATATCCATCCAGTTGGAAACTCTCCAGTTCTATCCCTGGTCAGAATATTTCATCAGATCCCAAAGATGAAGTCGTATCCCACTGGTTTCCCAAGAGTTTTGATAGCTAGGTCAAGTGAAGTTCCCCCATATCTTCAGGCTTTCCTGATATTTTTGCTGTTGATCCACCCCCCATCTTTTCAGCACATGAGAGAAATTTTTGGAAACATAATGAAACATAGGGCAACTATAGACACTCCGGAGACCCGGAAAATGCGGTTGAAGATGTTCAGTTGCCGCTGGACTAGACATGCTAACAAAAACACTGCAAATTGTTCTTGAAAGAGTGGATTTGATCAGGCAGGTTCAAATTGTGGGTCTTGAGCTGGGATAATGTTGATCAACCAATATCAACCATTGGATTTTGGAATTGAGCCCTAAAATTGGATGGTCGATATTAGACATCATCCAAATCTTTTTGACATATTTTGACCCATAGCCAAAAATAGAGACGTTTTACCGGCTTGATGTCAACCCTGGCTTTTCCTACAACCCTTGCATGTTGATCATTGGGGATACCATTTTGGTAAATGTTACATCCACCGTCATCAAACATGGCCAGCGAAATCCCTGAACGAGCCATGGAACTTTTCATGGGAATCATCTGATGGTGAATGTTCAATTGCCGCATTACGAAACAAAATATGGTGTGAACATCATTTACATGCATCTCCTGATTGTGCACAACGAGTGATAAAGTTTAGCTCATTGTTAGAATTGGATAAAGACATGAACTTAAAACGTTGCAGCACCTGAAGTCTCACGGTTTGTTTCACTGTGAAGTCGAAAAACCACTGCGCCACCCTGGATTTTGTCCACGGTGGATCTAGGAATTTTCAAAGCTGCCAGATTGCATGTGCTGCGCCAAGGATGTCCTTTGAAAGGAAACATCGAGGGCCAAAAGAAAACAAAATTGTATATATATATATGTATATCAATGTACCATCATTTTATCATTCATTTATTCCTGGGCAGGATTACCCCTGTTTGATTCAGTAACCGGTGCTTGGAAAGGACATCAATGACACACGCCACCCCAAATTGCCACAGAAAAATCACCTCGTGACATTCGGTTGGTGACGCGGCCTTCAGAGCAAGAAAGCCGAATGCCACGGCAGTTGTCTAATTTAAAGTCGACTCACTTGGTCTCGACCAAGTCCCAAACTTGGCGCAGAGTGACACAAATTTCTGACCAATCCCCAGAAACAAGGCCTTTTTTTCAATGGCTATTCCCAATGGACCAGATATTTGGGCCTTGATTTCGATGTAACATCCAGCCTGAAACATCCTGAAACCATGCTGGGTATTGATCCATCTTCACTTGGATTTGTAATGGTCATCCTACCACGAATGGGATTCCGAAAAAGTGGCTAGATTTCGCCGCAGTTCACCGGCTGAATTGGGGGGGATGACTCAGATGAGCATCCCCTACAAATTGGAAAGCTATGTAACTTGACCATGGATACCATGGCACGGTGCAAGCCGCGCGCCAAGTTTGAGACATCACTGGGCAGCGTTTTCAAAGCCTTCGGCCACTTCGGTATGCTTCGGTCAGCGGGCTTGGCTGCTACCCAGCTTGGGACAAATTGGATCTATGCAGCTACCAACCTGTCGGGTTGGTGAAGCATAGTATCATTCACTGAAATGCTCCATGTTGATTGGCTATAACATTATGAAGGTTTTTCAATGTTTTTCATGGTTTTTCTGAAGATCCGGGTACCCCAAGTAACCATAGGTTTCAATACGAAGTCGTGGTCTGGGGGTACCACCATTCTAGGAAACCCCCATATGCCTGTATGCATTCGAAATTGCTAGTAGTTGGTGGTGTTGATCTACTGAACAGTTCCTTTCAGCATGTCTTAGAAATGTCTTCATGCTTGTCCTTACTTCTACCCTCTGGTTATGACTAACAGTTCGCCATGGTTTCTCGATGGCCCTGAAATAGATGGTTCGGTTTACCTAGCTATAAATGGGTGGATCTTTCCAGTCCGCTATGTAACAAATTACCAGATGGTACACTCTATCTCATTGTTTTCTGGTTACCCAAGGTCAAACGCGTGGTAGTTTCCGTGAAACTCCGGGGTTGCCAAGGGGCTACCTCAATGGGCCCGCCCAACCTGTGTCAAACAAACATTAATGTAACACATATAGTAACCCGTAACCCCCAAAAAGATAGAACCGGTTGAATAAAAATCACCTTTTTTAGAAAAGGATGCAGTAACTTACTTTTCCTATACTTTTTTTCAGGGTTGCGACTGATTAAACCATTCACCCCAATATTCAATCCCAAACTAAACCATGGTTATATAAGTAGTATTGGATTCCTCTTCATTTCTAGGGCCTAGTAATGGGTGTTTTATATCGGAGGACGGGATTGCTATCATCCATCTCTGGATAAGAAATACGAATCGTAAACCTGAAAAGTTCGGCAATTTGGGATAGCTACGTCTATTAACCATATGCATCCACAGGCCATGGTGACATCCCTACGTGAGGTCGTGATCAATTTGTTTATCCAGGTGCGTGTATTACTCGTCTGCTAATCATTAATGCTTGAGATTATGGATGGTTAATCTCCCCAACCAAGATTTGAGGATCATTTAAATCATGTATCATGAATTGTCATGTTATATCATTCATTTTTTTATGACAATTGTTACATTTTATTTTTTCGACGTTTTGTCGACAGTTCAATCCACATATATTTGACGGTTAAATCCCCATTGTCAATTGCATGTTTTAACGAGATTCCCATTATAAATAACCATTTAAGTGAACAATAATAGTTAATTCAATCATCATTGATAACATTCAAAATTCAAATATATAAGTGATCATCCTTTTTTCACGAATAATTATACGTTTCGTTTGCCCCAAGCATTCAGCCATGACTTTTTCCGCTGAACATACGAGCCGTGCGGTGCGTGGCCTGTGGCCTCAGCCAGGGCCTCTGTACTTCCGCACCATTTCACGTCGATGCGATGGATCCAAGCGATTTCGAACCTGGGACGGGATCCGCTACGATGGGAGTCATAGCTGAGTTAGTAACAAAAATTGAAACCACCAATCAGTGGTCATTATCCAATGGATTATCCAATGGTTATACCCTCTGGTTATGACTAACATAGCCCATAGAAATAGTATAATAGATGGTTTACCGTTCTTAAAAATGGGTGGATCTTTCCATGGCTATGTAACAAATAACCAGATGGTATTTTTAACAATGTCATTGTGGTTATATATGGTTATATTACTTCTATGATTGTGGTAAAAAAAAGCTTTGGCCTAATTCGATAGCTAAGTTGACGCACACAACTTTGTGAATATATGTATATATATAGTATATGTATAAGTATATATAAGTATATATAATTATATATATATGGTCACCGCCCACGGCCCCCAGAAGCTATATATATATATAATTGTAAAGGTCAGATTACATGCTGGGTTTCTGCTGATCCATCCCATTTTCTGGGCAGATGATAGCCATCCCCGATTCGATTCCAGCGGAATGTTGGCTGAAAATTCCATGGATTTATCACCGTGTTATCACCCATTTTCAGTATGGGGGAATTGTATGGATTTTTTTTCACCATCTACAGATGGAGCTCACAAATTCTCTCAGCCTTTCTGGACAATGTCCAATTAATGTTGGACAACCCTGCTGCTTGGTGGTATACCTACCCCTCTGAAAAATATGAGTCAGTTGGGATTATTATTCCCAATATACGAAAAAATGAAGAATGTTCCAAACCACCAACCAGCCTGTATATTGTGGATTGGCTAATGGGCTATGGCAAGGAACATATATAACAACCATCTTCCCACCTCTGCTTTTTCTGTCCATCTTGTCGGAAGTTTGACTTCTAAAATTCCTTTGATCAGTTTAAGTATCGATTGTAGATAACTCATCCATTTTTTCTATTAATCCATTGTTTTTTATTGTTTTTTACATGGCTTTTCTATTGCAAGCGTCGAAAAAACTGCCGTATATCCATGTCCCTCTCCTGCTGGTTAGATGTCATAAAGGCTCAAGAAATCCAAGGAATACTATCTAGGACTATTGTTTCTGTTTCCATGTCTTCCATCTGGAAGCTCAGAAAATCCCAACTAAATGTTGAACTATTTGTCCATTGCTATGTTTGACTACCAATCCATACAGCTTTGTCACGGAATCCATTTTAAGCCATTTGTAGGTTTCCAAAGTCATTAGGGGTAGCCCCAAATCATCCAAGTCATTAACATTAAGCCTACTCAATCATTGCAACCCAATATTAATCAAACATCAGCTATTTCAGGAAAACCATCATTGACCATAGTCAACCATATTTCAACCATATTTCATTGACTTTGGAACTCGGCTAATGGTTTCCATCATGATTGAAAACTCTATTGTCTATAAAAACGGTTAAAATGTCTATTTCAGGAAAACCATCATGAAAACCATCATTAGATATAGTTTCACCATTTATATTATATATATATTGCAGTGTGTCAAAACCTTGTACCCCTGGTGAACATCAAAATAGCTGGTAAATGGATGTTCATCCCACTAAAAATGGTACTTATAGGTATTGATCCATAGCCATATATCATAGTTCAACCATGTCAACCATTTCAACCATAGCCTTTTTATAGACATTTCTGGAACGCCAAGTGACCCCTCGGATGGCAGGGACGGCCGCCGAGGTGACGCCTGACACATTCTGAATCCACAGGCTGGGGAAGAGACAAAATATGGAAATGTCATGGAAAAGTCTGGTAAATACATCTTTATTATTTGTATATATATAATATAATAATGATAATGATAATAATGATAATTAATGATAATAATAATGATGACTTAAATAATATAATATAATATTAGGCTAAAAATGGCTAAAATGATTTCTCTCGATCGTTTACTTAGAGGTAAAATGACCATTCTGAAAGGGAGGCACAGCACTACTGGCTTCATTCTCCCCGAAATCAGAAATCATTGAGACCATCAACCTGACATTGAGACCATCAATAGATGGATTTAAGGGACCATCTACAGCAGAGACCATGGTTTTTAGGTCAAACATCAAGTTTACCCTCTGGTAAACTAACATAGCTATGGAAAATCACTATTTTTAATGGGAAAATCCACTATAAATGGTAATTTTCAATAGCTATGTTAAATTACCAGAGGGTAACCCACCAATGTTTGGTCGCCTTTTTGGGGAAGACTCCAACATTTTGACCCTGTCCCGACTTCCCGACCCGCCTATGGCTGGTCGGAGGATACACACAGGAATGCCACTCACCACGGATTGTAGGACCTCCCACAACGAACGGATCCCAACCCCGGAAAAAACGTGTGTTGCCAACGGGGCAAACAGTTTACTCAATACCATGATCAAAAATAAAGTGGTTCCCAAGATCTTTATTTTTGATCCGTGAGATGGAACCTCACCAAACCAGGAATCCAATCCACAACTCACTGTAGTTCTATCTCTTAGTAGTTGTGAATTACAACAGAGGCAGAAAAGTCGAGAAAAAACACACGCTACAGAAACGGTTGCCTCCGACCCTGCCTCCGACCCAGCTTTCATCTTCCCAAAGATGGAGAACAATGGTGCCATCGGACATGGTAACGTTTAAAGTAAGAACCGCGCCACGGTGTAGCGTTCGAAATTGGAAATTGATGTTACTCAAAATCTTTTTTTTGGGATTGGGGGTTACTTTTTGTACGAACATGTACTATCATTGGACTTGCATAATGCTTAAGGGGTCTCCCAAATAAACATATTATAGATTCCTAAAGTGGTTGATTTTCCGTTCGACAAATCAAGAATCAGCTCCAAGCCCAGGATCATCATAAATCCCCGAAGTTTTTCTTCACCAACATTAGCTAACTAAAGAATCCTAGGAAATCCCATCCAAAATCCCATGAAGCACCACCTTTGACGCCCTTTTCAAAGGTTTTTTTCCGGTACCCCGATCAACGGGGGATCAACGAAGGTTGGCACCTGCTTCTTCGGTGCGCCCTGCTTGATCTCCACGAAGGGCTTCACCTTGGGCGGTAAACGTGTAACTCTGTGTACATTATATAGATTTATATAGTACTATTCAGATGTGTGTATATATAATTATATATATGTAGATGTATGTAGATGTATGTAGATGTATATGAATGCAATTAGATGCATACATATCCATACTACTGCAATGATGCAAATAGATGTATTAGATGCAATATATTAAGTAGCAACAATATTCCACAATTATGCTGGAGTAGATGGAATCTCCCCGTTTCCGATATTTAGATGATTTTAGATGCATTTCAGAGCCAATAAAAAGGTGAGATCATAGATTATGTACTCCAGTGCCTGTCCACACACAATCAATGCCACCCTATTAATGCTTGCACTCACCCATGCATATCTGATCCAATTAATATGTGTGGACATCTAGACCCTATGGTAATTAGATGCTCCATACATCGTTTTTTTTTTAAATACAAACCACCCAACGCATCCCCGAAATATGATCAACACTTGGATATTCCCAACCCTCCCAAAAAAGGAAGAGGTCATGCGGTCATGTTAGTAGGATCCACTATCCGCTTATCCCCAACTTCTGCCAGGTTTATGGCTGGTAAAAGCCATCAATCCTTTCATGGCTGCTGACACTGCTTGCTTTCACCCCATGATCTGCCAGGAGCCCCGACCAGGATAGGTCCGGTATTGCGCAAGCCTTGTGTGAGATTGGAGCCAGCCTGGCAGGCATGGCTGACCCCAAGTTCGGAAACTCAGAAAATGGTTATTCATTGTTTTTCAGTAACCTATGATTTTGTCAAAAACGGATGATACCGTACTGTCATCCCGTGGTTTTTTCTGTTTGGTACCTGGAAACTAACAGTTTGCTATGGACAATCACCTTTTTTAAGGTAAATCAACGAGCTAAATGGGCCTTTTTTCCCACATCTATGCCCCCCCGACCTCTTGAAGTCCTTCCGCAGCACCGCCAGGTTGCATGAAGTTGGCAGAACCTGCCAGCGTTTTGGGTGCCTTGGGACATGGATACCCTCCGTTCATTGAAGAACGCCATGGGAAAAAAACACAATGTTTAAGTTCCGGAATTCATCATAACATTGGCCATTTCAATAGCTATGTTAATTTACAAGAGGGTAGAAGTCAGTTCTACTTGGATGGAGGGCATTTGCTCCAATGTTATGTTTCTGGCTGGAATTCGCAATGTTTCTAGGCTCCAATGGTTCCTTCGTTCACCGGCTATCCCCATCTTATTCCATTATCCCATTTTTGAGGGGCAAACTCTCCATTTTCTCCCATGCTTGCTGATAGTACCCAGTACATTCCCATGATATTCCCATTTCCAATAGATCCCTATTATATCATATTATATCCCCATAACCCCTGTTGATCTCCACTATATGGAGGATATGGATGTTTCCAATCCATGGGGGTATCCCAAATCATCCATTTTAAATCATGTTAATAGGCTTTTCCAATATAAACCATCCATTTCTAATTTTCCCTATTTATGTAAATCCCATGAAATCCCATATTTAACCCGTATTTTCCAGGGTGAACTCGTTCCTGACCTCGCTCCACTGGCAACCACTCCGAGCCCCTTGAGCTGGAGCTTGCAAAGCCTGCAGAATTCATCAAGCAACTGGTTTTTGTTAAGCCATGTCAGCCATGTTCTTCAAAATACACACCAAATCATGGTCCTTTCATCTCCAGTTCTTGAATTTACCCTCTGGTAATTTGTTACATAGCTATTGAAAATGGCCATTTATATCCATAGAAATAGTGGATTTACCCTTCGAAAATGGTGGATCTTTCCATAGTTTTTTGTATGTTTACCAGAGCGTAAACTTGATGTTTGACCTAAAAACCATGGCCATTTATATCCATTTATAGTGGATTTACCCATTAAAAATAGTGATTTTCCATAGCTATGTTAGTTTACCAGAGGTTTTTTGACTTTGCTGTTCACTTCACGGAGAAACCCTTGGGGATCGGCCACCGGCGCCACCGGCGCCACCGGATTCACCGGCGCCACCTGCGTCGGCTTCCAGAGGTCCGGCGCGCCCGGCGCTGAAGGCATCGCTGGGCCTCGCCGGGTCATCCCGGATGGGGATCCAATGTGGGTCAGGATCCAATGGGAAGAACTGGTTGGTGGTTGACCTACCCCTATGGTTAATATACTGCTAATAATGATTAATATTAATGGTTATTATATGGTTATTATATGGTTAGTGATGGCTAATAACTATATCTGGTTGGTGGTTGACCTACCCCTCTGAAAAAAAAATAGTCAAATGGGATGATGAAATTCCCAATATATGGAAAAATATAATATGTTCCAAACCACCCACCAAATAACCATTGGATAATCCATTGGATAATGACCATTAAGACAACAAAAATAATCCGTGATTGACATAGCCATGGAAATTTACCATCTGGTTATGACTAACATAGCCATGGAAAGATCCACCCATTTTTAAGAACGGTAAACCCAGGTAAACCATCTATTTCGATTAGGGCCATCGAAAAACCGTGGCGAACTGTTAGTCATAACCAGAGGGTATAACCATTGGATAATCCATTGGATAATGACCACTGGTTGGTGGTATACCTACCCCTCTGAAAAATATGCTCGTCAATAGGAAGGATGACATCCCATATATGAAATGGAAACATAAAGAATGTTCCAAACCACCAAGCAGATTAAGACTATTATAATCCATGATAATGATGATTATCATAGCCACTTAAATGGATAATGGGTAATGATTTGGACAATCCATTGATAATGATTGGATAATGATCCAATGGATTATCACATGGATAGACCCATTTTGATAATGATTGGATCATGATCCATTTATGGATTATCTATCTTTATTATCCTTGATGATCCGTTTATGGATGATCTACCTGAAGATTTACCAACCATGCTGACGTTCCAGTTCTATGTTGATAAGCATGGGGTATACAATTTCACGATGTGGGAAGCGGGGAAGCTTCGGGAATGATCGAATCATTGTAATCATTCATGGTGAGTTTTCCACATCTAAACATTTACAGGAGGGTGTATATATATATATATTATATATATATATTATATATATATTATATTACTAGCTGGGTAAATTATTTAAAAAAAATCACTAACCTGAAATAAGATGAAATACGACCATATTGGGATCATTCCCCGAATCCTAGCCATGATCCAGGCTTCGGGAGAACAGTGAGGTCGTTATAATTTACCCATGTATAAAGATATATATGTATATATATAGATGTATGTTTCATATGATAGTATATGTATATAGTATATATAGTATAATATGTATATAATATGTATATATAGTAAAAACAAGCAATGGACTATTGATTCATCTATTCGGATGATTTCCAATGGAGATGCGATGGGCCTAAAAACCCTGGATCTGATGCATCAGCAAGGGCTTTTTCTTCCTTCCCGTTGAAGTAGCATTAAGACATTCGTATGGGCATACCCTGGACTAGCAAATTCTCACTTATTCCTAAAAAAAACCCATAAAAAAGCTATATCTAAAACCCATTGAATTACCATCTGGTTATTTAACATAGCCATGGAAAATCCCTTATAAATGGAGGTTTTAATGGGAAAATCATCTATAAATGGGCCGTTTTCCATGGCTATGTTAAATAACCAGAGGGTATCAGTAGATTCGTTCTGAAGTATGAGGTGATGGCAGGACTGATTGGTATGTTTAGATATGTTTAGTACCTCCTCTACTGCTTGTTTTCGCTGATTTTGAGCACACATGCAAACAAATAATTAGAACATATTACAGTACAAATACGCATATGAATGCACACGTCGTCTTCATCAGCTTCTCTCATGGGCTATCTCACATTTCTGACATATTCAGAACTAGCCTCCAAATATCAAATATCTCCAAATTGTCATCTTTGTTGGTTATGCCGCATGTGCCCATGTTTCCATCGGCAATGCAGGATCATCTTCACACTTCATCTGCTTTGATGGGCATCATGGGGATACGTTGCTTGCATTGCCTACTCTTTGATCTTAGATACCTGGTGGAGTAGCTTAGGACACCTTCAAACCCAAACACTCGTTTTGCATGGCTTATATTTGGGCTGCTTTGCCCAAAATCCATTGGTTACTGTAATGATACTAATGATCATTTTCAGCTGAAATTCAGCATCAGCTAACAATTTTCTGACTTGGATTTGCCATCCAAAAGCCCCCCAAAATAAAGATAAATTACAATAAATTGGATTTGCCATCCAGGAACCCTCCACAAGAATAAGAATAACACATGTTCCCAATACATTCCCGAGCGGATTTCCCGGCAAATCCAAGATGGCCACATTGACAGCCATTGATCGATGATAACCGGTGAAATCACCATCTTATGCTAGGTATATGTATCATTCTTGCTGCTATTTTTTGCACGCTATTTTAAACACATTTATGCTTGTGAAAAATCCCAACTTTTTAAGGTTTCAATCATCTGAAATCCAAAATGTGGCCGTTTCAATCCACAATTTTCACGACGGTCAAATGCTACATTTAGCCATAAATACCATAAATCTATATAAATCTCCACTTTTTCTAGATCATCTCACCCATTTTTCTTCGTAGAATCCACATATAGATCCCATGAAATCACCAATTTTTAATTTTCCCTTAGGTAAAATCTGTGCCCACCTGGATCCAGACGCTGGGGTCTTGGTGAAGCCTCGGAGTGGGTGATTTTTCATACAGCAATGGCATTGGTTTTGGAAGGTGGTGGAATGTCACCATGAAACATGCTGCTTTCAGAAGGTGGTTTTCACAAGATTTAGTGGGCATCTAATAGAATTTGATGGGATTTTGGATGGGATTTTGGATGGGATTTTGGAGGAATTAGCTAAGTCGGTGAACATAACTCCAAGTTTTTCTTCGGCTTGTGGTAGATGTGGTTATAAACCAACATAACTTGGGGGAGCACCACTGTATCATATTTTCATCCATGGGACTATTCAATGACGAATCATCAACGGTAGACGCAGCCACTGCCCTGCAAAAGACCTGAGATGCCGGCGGCTGTTGGCATATTCGAGCGCTGCCTGAGTTTCTTTTTCGGATCGTGGGAGAATCCAAAAAGGCTCGCGCTTAAAAAATCCACGGTAGAGGGTTATTAATCCCAGTTTATAAGTGGATTATAGAATCCCAATAAAGTGGATGATATTCCCAGTTTATAAGTGGATTATAGAACCCTATAAGTGGATTATATTCCCAATTTATGTGGATTATATATATAATTATATATATAATATAGGGTTAATATATAACATATAGGGTTAATATGGATAACCCCAGTTATAAGTGTATAAGTTAATATAATATATATATATATTATATATATATAACCCTATGGGATAAGTATAGGGTTAATCCACATCTCTAACCTCGGGGTCATCTTAAATGATCCCTTCGCCACCAAAGAAAAAATACCCGAGACCCCCTGGTTCGAAGCAGGGTTTCGTAAACGGGTAATATTTAAACATTAGGGGAACCGAATCAGGATTAGTGGGCAAACAGTTTCTGTTAAACATATCTGGTTGGTGGTTCACCTATCCCTCTGAAAAATATGAGTTCGTCAGTTGGGATGATGACATTCCCAATAGATGGAAAAATAAAAATGTTCCAAACCACCAACCAGATGTGCTTTATTGATTTCTTTGAAGAACCCATAATTTATTGGTTGGCAAAATCGTTGGTGAAGAGGTTTAGCAGCAACGCCAAGGCGTTCCCATTCTCAAAGGATAAGATGTTCCCATCAACGGCAGTCCTGGTTAATCATGGTTAGTGATGGTGATTAACGGTTAATAATGGTTTTCATAAATGATGGTTAATGATGGTTACTGATAGTTAATGATGCTTAATGTGGGTAAAACAATGCCATAAATCCGCCGGCCTGCCGGCGTGTCTGATTGTGAAATGTTGTTCTTGTTTCTGTTCTTGGCTTGTACTTGTTCCTTTGTTCTCTTCCCGCGCGTTTTTGCTCCGTCTGAATCAAAGTCACCCCCCCCTCCCCCCGTGGCTTGGACTGTTCCGTTCTATGTGACGGCTGCGCTTGTGAAGAAATAGAGCAGTCTATTAATGAAACATGCATGCATAAGTCTAAGTATTATGTTTATAAATGCTTATCATACATGGATTAAAATACATGTGTATGTATAGACATACATACATACATACATACATAACATTACATTACCTTACTTTTCGTTACGTTAGATTACATAACAAAACATAACATAACATACACAATCATACATAATTACATACTCACTAAATGCATACATGCATAGATACAGACATAGAAAAACCCATACAGGCATGCATTCATACGTATGCATACGTATACAGAGAAGCACGCTGGGTTCGCGGGGTTCGCGGGGTTGGCGGGGTTGGCGGGGTTGGCGGGGTTGGCGGGGTTCGCGCGGGGTTCGCGGGGTTGGCGGGGTTGGCGGGTCTGTATATATATATATATATGCTTATCCCATGAACTATGATCATGTTGGTTCATATTCTTGTCTATATACCCTCCGGTAAACTAACATAGATGTCCAACACCCGCCGTAAATCATGTTCCGAACGGAAAACCACGTGTCTTCCACATCTATGTGAGTTTACCCCATCCCATTATATCAGCATGATATCCACATGCGCAGTGTTCAAAACTGTTTGCCATTCCATTGTACTGGGTGGTAAATAGGGCTTCCATTGATGGATGATGATAATCTCCAACCTATTCGAACGTATATTCCCATGAGGGTGCAGTTCTAGAGGTTCTATCCGAATTCATGGGGATAAGTACCAAGTTTATACATTAAAAAAACAGCTGCACCCCCAAGTACCATCATCAACCGACGATCATTTTATCAGTTACACCCATGTCTATGCCATATTTTGATCCATAAAACCCTATCATAAATGACCAGAATGTCAATGTTGCTAAATCAATAACAATAAACCATCCATATGGATTTGATATGATTTGATGCTTTATACCACCCATAGAAATGGTGAATGTGTAGATTCTATGCAATGTAGATGGTTTACTTTACCAACATTAATCATTAACATTCATCAAGCAACAGGAGCCACTGCTGACGCCCCTCTGAATTTTGCCTGCGCTCCCACGAAGACCCGCTCGGTGAGATCGATGCTCTCCACGGTGACGTGGCGAAGGAAGGAGACGACGCCTGGAAGAGACGTGAGATGGGGATGAACCTAACAGTGTGGATATAAAAAATATATATTGGCATATAAATTTCTCAAATGACCTATAGTTGGATATACCCTCTGGTAATTTAACATGGCTATTGAAGATGGCCATTTACAGTGAGTTTTCCCATTAAAAATGATGATTTTCCATAGTTATGTTAGTTTACCAGAGGGTATCTATGAAGATATCTTTGAGACATAGGTTTTAACCATAGCCAGCATGGAGAGTTTAAATCAGCGAATCGCCGAATCCACTATTACTGTAGTACTCCGAATCAATACCCGGCCTGGTAAACGTTGACATAACTATAGAACATCACCATTTTGAATAGGTAAATCAACTATTTTTTAATGGGGTATGTTCAATATTTTTCAATAGCTATCTTAAATTACCAGAGGGTATCATCTATAGGAAATGGGAAAACAGCCCGAGTAGAAGCTTTGTCATCAGTATCTGTCTTTGTACTTTTTCAAGATGGTATAGTAGTATAGAGATGATCTTTAGCTTAATTCGTGTCCAACTGTTCAACAACCATTTTTTTTTGTCTATGACAATGACTAGATATAGACATGCTATTAACCAGCATTTTCTTCGCAATTTCCTACCATTTTCCTATCATTTACCAACATTTTTTTCTTGGCATGTTCCTACCACTTTCGTTTCAACAACCACGGCCCAAAATAGGTTCCGCTACCGCAGCAGCGCCTCGTAGCATGGTCCTGGAGACGTGTTCTGCATCTTCACCTGCAGATGATCGGCGCGGAGGTGGTCAGAAGGCGTCTACATGGGGACAATCGTTATAGCTATCTATAGCTATCAATAGTAATATATATATACCAGCTAAGCCAGAAAACCATGAAATCTTAATATTTCAAAAACATATTACGATTTTGGGGGAGCTGCAAGAAATCTTGCGATTGAGAAAAGCGTTGCGAGAATTTGGAAACAATATGGGCTATAATTATCTAACTATAACTTGAGTTATCAATAGTTATCAATAATCATATACCATCTATATCTGGTTGGTGGTATACCTACCCCTCTGAAAAATATGAGTTCGTCAGTTGGGATGATGAAATTCCCAATAGATGGAAAAATAAAACTATAACTGGAGTATATAAATAGCCATTTATAGCTGGTAATTGGTAATTTAACATAGCTATTGAAAATGTTTTTTTTTTATCATCTAAGTATAACTGGAGTATATAAATGGGCTATAATTATCGAACATTATCTAACTATAACTGGAGTTGGAAAAATAGTTATCTTAACTATGTCGTAAGTGAAGTTACTGAAAGTGACTAGGTGGACATATTAATTTAGGAGACCTAAATGAAGCGATGAACTAGATTTAACTAGTGTGGTGGTGAAATCACAACATAAGCGGGGATGTTCTGGGGACTTTCCCATGAGCAACTCCATTTCTAGCAACAAAGCAGGTCGATTTGGATCGATTAGGCAGGAATCGAACCGTTTTTCCACGGGTTTTCCATGGGTTTTGCTAGAAATCCAAGTATTTTCCATTGATTTTCCCATAGAAGTTCCATATTTTGATTTTCATTCATTTTCCATGGGTTTTCCCATAGAAGTTCCATATGTTCCATGGGTTTTCCCATAAAAAATCCGTATTTTCCAAGCAAATCCATGTCCCAAAACGTCTCAGCTCCGAGCCTGCGAGGTACTGCTTTAAGGGATCCAGCACCTGCCGAATGGGAGGAAACACTTCAACCAATGGTCCCGCCCGGCTTGAAGCACCAAGATCATGGGATTTTAGGTGTAAACTATGATATATATATATAATATATATAATATATATAGATATATATATATATATATGCGGCTTATCTATATCTATCTATATCTATCATCTATCTATCTATCTATCTATCTAATTATCTATCTATCTATCTATCTATCTATCTATCTATCTATCTATCTATCTGTTCGTCTGAAATTCAGATACTTGAAAGAACAAGATTGTGTACCGCCATTTTCCCACTAGCCCTTTTGGGGGGGTATACCCCATTTTCAGACATGCCCACACATTGCTGCTGCGAGTACAACAACCTCTTGTGGAAAGATGTCCAAATTGTTCATGTGACAACTTAATAATATTCCATTAGTATCCCATTATATATATCCCATTATATCCATTAATATCCCATTATATTTTTATTTTTGTTCAAGGCTATCTCCCAATGTTTTTACCGAACAACGAGGAAGATCTGCATGTTTTTGGTCAGATCTTAATGCTTGGGAACTTGGTGGTTTCCGCCAAGAAAGCCCATGGCCGGCAATGAACCAAGCACGAATAATAGTAGGTCGATAACAAACTCCTGTGAAACGCATATCATATATGGAACAAAACAACCTACTTCTGCGGAAAACATATGTATATATATATAGGTACATATATATATTATATATATATATTATATCATGGCTACTATATCTATATCTATTTTGTAATTATCGATAGCCATAACATGCCATAACTATCTCTATCTCCACATCTCTATGGCTCTCTCTCCATCTATAGTTACTGTATAATGGCTATACAATGTTATACATATTCTATGGCTATCTATACTATGGTTACATAATGTTACATATATATCATATATACATCATTCTAGCTCTATGATATTCTGCAGTTATCTATTCTGGTTGGTGGTTTTCACCATCTTGAAACATATTAGTCGATGGGAAGGATTATCCATATATGATGGAAAATAAAAATCTTTGAAGCCACCAACCAGATAGTAAAAACATATATTAACCATAGATTAACCATATATTAACCATCATTAACCATCGTTAACCATTCTTAACCATCCATTAACCATAGCTCTGGTCTATCTCCATCTCGAAACTCCGCTTGGCCCCGGAACCATCTCCGCAAAGCCGCCACTGATGTTGGCGATGGAGCGGATCGGGGTGATGCCCGACCTGGGGGCAAAACGCCAGGGTCCCCAGGGTTTTTACAGGGTCCGAGGGTCTCCAGGGGTGGAAGTGAACAAAAGGGGGGATTCACGGAGCAAAAAATGCCACTTTAACTGGTGAAGATGGTGATAAACCTGTTGTTATAGATGCATCTACATGCATCTACATGCCAAAATGATCACTATGAATGGGGAAAAACAGCGCAATCATGAATCCTTGGGGTAGCCTAGTTTCTGACAAACCGAGATATCGACGTTGACATGTTTCATCGGATTTTAATGCACACAACAAATTGGCTGTGTTCCAGAGATCCACTCCCTGTGCTACAAAAAAAACAGAAGTTGTTTCTTCGTTCGATGAACGGATCAATTATATATATATATTGTTAAAATCAACTGTTGCTTGTATACGTGTTATTACTATTGTTATTATTACTATTATTGTTATTCATCATTACTATATCCCCATATAAGATAATAAGATCATTTGAGATGCCAATAACCCTAACTTTGGGTAGATTTATATACATACTCCTGGCCGTGTCCCGCTGCATCTTTTCAGGCCCGGGCAAGCAACGCAAGACCTGGGTCCGGTCTAAGTCTGCGCCCCAGCATTGTGCCACCTGCGAGACGTTAGGCAAAAGAACTATCTGGTTCATGGTCAAGTTTCCCTCTGTGGTTCGTAGTGGTTTGTAATTGCTAATAATGATTAGTATTGGTTAACAATGATTAATAGTGATTAATATTGAGTAATAATGGTTAATTAATCATTGATCATGTTTAATATCGAACATATACCCTCTGGTATATTAACAGTTTGACCTGAAAACAAGCAATTCTTAGTGGTTTCCCTAATCTTCCAAACCCTATCATAGAGGGTCTTTGCAAATTTACTGGAGGATGCATGGTAGATGTCTTTTTTCGTCATCCATTCCATAAAGCGAGTCCGCCATTGATATTTGAATCTCTAATAAACATCATGATGACCATCCCCCATAGGGCGGGTATACAATCCAACTTTTGGCCAATGCACACATAGGTCTTCAGTGAACTGCCCTAGGATTTCCGTAGTAGGCTGGCTGGGTTTCTCATCCCAGTGACCACTTGCCCTAAGTGGCTCATCCACTATGTAACTGGTGGGTTATGGCTCCAAGTTCACACGAACCAATTCAGGTTTCATAAGCAGAAATGCGGTATTTTCACGACCACATTGGGGATTTAAACCAAAAAAACTTCGGATTTCACTGGAGAAATGGGTCATGATGACACTGGTGCCATAAAATCTCTGGATGTTCGTCCAAGTCACTGGAGCGGACTTCTTTGGGGCGTGAAACATGTCCCCCATTCAAAAAACCGCTCAAAACAAAGCTATTGGGTAACTTACCCAGCCAAAATAGATCAATTGATATATCAATTGATATCACATTGGAGTCCGTCCTCTAAAAACGAAGCTCTGAAAAATTTCAAAAGATTCACGTGGGGAGACGTTGCCGCAGCGCTTCAAACGACCAGGCCTCATTGAGAACCTTCTCAAGGCCCCGTTTCTGATAGACCTGAAAAATCGCCAGCATGGGAATCAACAAGGCAAATGGTTATCCCCCGAGCTGCAGCTTCTCATGGTGAAATCATCGATTTCTGTGGCAAAAACCATTAAGAAAACACCGGGTTCACCACCGGTTTCTTTCACCTTGAAATCTATACTCAGTTTTCTTGGATACCTTATGATACCTTGCAATCCAAGTCTGCCTCCACCCCCCCAGAAAACACGAGTGCCCCCACAACCACTTTTGTGAATCTCACCTGAGTGTGGTCAAAGCTCGGCTGAGCTCATGTTCTATGACAGTACCAATGCCAGAGGGTTCAATGTTAAATTGTGCTGGGATGCTATTCCTCCATTTGTAGCCAGAAACAGTAACCTAGCTATCTAAGATGGTGGGTGGAGACTCTAACCAGTCACAAAGGACTTTGCTTGAACTTAGCGTTTTCAGATTGCAATGGATAGCACGCTTGGGTGATGGTGTCATACAAGACTTGAAAGTGCGGTATCTGCATTTATGTTTTTGAACTGAGAAACTGAGAAACCTGGAAAAAAACTTGGTCTCAAAAATGGGAAACTCAAAACCATCAGTGGGTATCCTACATGCATGCAGTGACCAAAAACTCGAATTAAACACATGGGTAATTTCTCAATCCTTCGTTATTGCCTCAAACGGGCGTAAACTGGCTCTGCGTTGCGCTTCATTCCACTTGGGGCAAACGTCAAGCCTGAAGGAATCGAGCATACGAGACCAGAGACCAAATTGTTGGTTGCCTGAGTGCTTGAACTCGTACCAAATCTGGATGTTTGTATATTAAACATTATTAAACTATATTAAACCCCGAGTCACTGACGTGTGGGAATATGCAGTTGATGGGTTGCAGAAAGATTAAACGAGAAAGATTACACCAATGACTTGTTGCTCAACTCATACCCAAACATGAAGACACCAGGGCTATTAACCTAAAACACCATGGAAATCACCTAATCTTGTTGCTAAACTCAGGTTCAACCTCATTTTTTGCAGGTCCAAAAAATTCTCGGAATTGGTTTCAGGGAATATCTACAAGACATCTCCATATGTTCTCCCAGGTCCCTTAAAACCCATCCATTGACAGCGTCGCGGACCTCCAAACCCTCCAGAATGGGAAGTGCGTTCACCAGCCTGGATGACATTCGACGAGCAACTTGGAGTTCTGATAGGTGGCCAACCCCTGTCTTTGAAGAAACTCATTCACTAAAGATTGAGGTTCAGGAATGACTGGGTTCTTTTAGCCGATGTAGTGGGGCAATGTCAGGGGTTTCTCATGGGTCAACACATACACATCAAGAGTGAAACTATAGCCCCACACACAATGCTTTGATGTACCCTCTGGTTATTTAACATCGCCATGAAACATGGCCCATTTATAGATGAACTTGGGAAACAATAATGTAACTAAAAAACATATTAGAATATCACCATGGATTTGAGAGTACATTTAACTTACATTTCATAATATCGTATAATATCTACACCAACTATAGTCGAATATCACCATGCTTCGACCAGGCCCAAAGTTACCAACAACATGCGCCGGTGAGTTGTTTTGGTCCGAGCGGCTGCCAAAGTTCGCCCCGTTTCAGGGCCTCCGTATCGATACCTCAGTGCGACGTCGTCTTCAGGGTCTCTCAATGGATTAATTTCAGGGGAACCCATGTTGAACACACACACACACACATAAAAAAAGGTCAAATATGGTGAATTTTACCATTGAAAGACTGGTAAGAATTGATATTCCTATTTTTTGAATGGACAATTGATTGAAGGGGACAGCTGGAAGCAGCAGGCTCCGATCCAAAGCAGGCCTTCGACGCCGATACGATGTGGGTGAAGAAAAACAAATGGCCGTTTGCCAATGGGGAAAAGGATGTCTTGTTTTCCCCAGGGATTGCTTTGAACATCTTTAAACACGTTCTCGTGATTTTCAGACACACCTCCCGCAACTGGTGCGGTAAACATTGGAGGAAACTTAGGAAACACTTATTTTCTACATGGCCAAACTTAGAGACACACACAATCCCAGCATTTCCTACCGCTGGGCTCGCCAACGTTTGGCCTTGTAGTCTATTGCCACGAAAAGGCTGCCCACCTTGACCTCTACGTGCGGGAATATCATGGGAAAGCCAGAAACCATGGGGATATCATTGGTAGAATGGGAATATCATGTGGATGTATACTATTGCATAATGTATATATATATATATATGTGTTATAGTTATATAGTGTTATATATATAATATATATATATATAATATGATACCATTTCCTGACCAACTATGGGATTGTATCATTATTTTCCCGTGTTTTCAAGCCAAAGCTTAGCAGCTCCAGCCCGCAGCACGCGCAACACTGAGTGCTAGCACGCAGGTTCGTCACGCAGTGTTTTTTTTTGCATTGTGATACAGGTAAATGCATTTAACTAGATCCGGGAAAAAAAAAACATCCATACAAATTTTAGACCTTAAAGGGCTAGTAAATCGCAAGTTCGAAACGCATTGGGCTTTATTATTCTATTCATACCTCGGTGCATTTACTTTCCTGTGAAAAAAGCATCCGGTAACGTGCAAATATCTGCCTGACGTCCGGATGCATTTTGCAAAAGGGTAAATTCTTTCAGGGTGTTGAAAAAAACAACGCCACTTGGAGGTACTTGTGTGGCTCTCATGAATGTGATGAGTATCTCATGATATCTCATGCTTATCGTCACTCCAATGCATTTTTCCTATTCCAATAAAAGCATCCACTATCTAAATCAAGATAAACATATCTACTAGGATGCACACCGGGAAAAATGCATTGGAGTGAGTGCTGAGCAGGCGAGTGCTGGCACGCGAGTTCTGAGTGCCAGCACGACGAAACAGCTAAGAGCCAAGGTCATGATTGTATATGATTCATATGATCATTTTAGGGGAAATGAAAGGGGCCATTATGATCATGATGCTGATTTAAACGTATCTATCATTTGGGGCCAACTTCGTGAAGCTTGACAAGGACAATTTTGCTTGGGTTCAACATTCAGGTTTCCAATCAACAAAACTATATAAACATCATGGCGAACAAGTTCTGGCGGGATAACACAACCACTTCTAGAGGTCTAATCAACAGCTATGTTGGATAACAAGACCAGTTAGAAAAATGATGACCAATCAAATTATTGAAAACATCACCATAGATTTTCCCTGGTCACATCTCGCAGATTGTAGAGGTCTTCTCTTCCCCGTAAATTTTCCGTCAAATGAGAGTTCCAACTTGTCACGAATGTCTCATGATTTTAATGTGGGTAAAACAATCATAAACCATCCCCCAGTCACCATGTTTACAGCTGGTATGTTTACCATTCCCAGTCATGGGTTGTTTATATTAACATTGTTTTACCCACATTAAGCATCATTAACTATCAGTAACCATCATTAACCATCATTTATGAAAACCATCATTAACCATTAATCACCATCACTGACCATTAACATCCATTAACCAGGTTGATGGCATTGTTCCAGATCAGTCATCTGGTCCCCAGTCGGGTCGGCTCGGCGCCTCCTGAAAGAACAGGGGCACGCTGCTTCCAGCTTTGGGCGAGCGGCCAAAGTTCAGGGCTTGGCTCGGATCTGCCAATGGAACGGAGGTCGGAATACGATTTTTCTCAGCATCTTGGGCGGAAAGTCAATGACAACATGGGAGAAGTGGGAAAATCATTGGAAAACGATAGAACATTATGGGAAATCAATAGACAATGATAGAAAATGATGGGAAAATGGGAAAGATATAGGAAAAACAATGGGAACATGATGGAACATTTTGAAAATTCCAGTGAAAATCAAGATGGTTCCCTTGTGGCGACCAGCTGCTTGAAATGTCCTTTTCGGGCTAGGTCGAAGTCGATGCGCAGACAGACACCGCCCAAGACAACTAAGCCTATCTTTTCATATCTTTTCCATGCTGATTCGCACTACCCCTTAAATGATAGTGCAAGCTTTGAGGGTGGTTGGTGTTTGCTTTTTGGGAGATAGATTCGCTGTAACCCTCAAAATGATGGGACAACCCGGGCTAGGTAGGGAGGATGGTTCGGGCTTTGGCGGATCTTGTGATAGTCTTCCCGGAAGCACATTGCGGCTCCGAAAAACGAACGGACACCATATTCTGCTGTCGTATCTTAGAGCTTTTCATTGCCGCCACAATAGCGGCTTTTCGCATGGTTTTGGATCAATATCACATTTACCTTCCGGTAGACCCTCGGAAAATCCTGAGTTTTGCTGCTTCAGTTGGCCCCTAAAAACTGATCTGTATGTATATATATTATAACAATACATTATTATATATATATTATAAAGATCACATATATATCTATCTATCTATCTATCTATCTATCTATACGCATACAATATGTATTCATAAAGCATGTACATATGGTTAAATATTTGATGTAAACACAATTTTTACAAATATGTATATAATATAATATAATATATAGTATATACAATATCTATAAAATCCATTTTACACATATCGTACTAATTTTTATATAATCTACCCCATTTATTACATCTTTACATAGCCCCAATTCGAGTTGACACAGAAGGGTGTCAGCCTGGATGGAGTTCATCTTCATTTTCCTGCCGAAGATGTTGGGAACACCCCAACATCAGGTGAAAATTAGTTGTTAATGGATAGTAATGGATAATTATGAATATTAATGGATTATTTTGATGGGATACTAATGGAATGCTAATGAATACTCATGAATAGTAATGGATAGTAATGGATATGATGGTATTAATTGATATTCATGGATAGTACCCTCTGGTAAATTAACATAGACCTTGAAAATCACCAATTTTTAATGGAAACTAGTCTTCCCCTATCTGCCAGGGTCTATGTTAATATACCAGAGGGTATCCTTTTCCCGATTAGAACGGCTGTTTTGGGGAGGTCTCCCGTGAGAATTGATGGTTGTTTTCTAGTATTCATCTTCACTCGGCTCGGCTATTTTCCCACCAAATCAACCAACATCTGCCATGGTAGAGGAGGCTTTGACAACCCGCCCCATATTAAAAACCCAACAATATTATGTATGATATGTATGATATGTATGATATGTATGATATGTATGATATGTATGATATGTATGATATGTATGATATGTATGATATGTATGATATGTATGATATGTATGATATGTATGATATGTATGATATGTATGTATGTATGTATGTATGTATGTATGTATGTATGTATGTATGTATGTATGTATGTATGTATGTATGTATGTATATAATTATATATATATGTATACATATGATATATGATACAATACTATACATGTTTATCAATGGGAGTTTCAGGACTCCAAAATGGAGGTACTGTACAATGTAGTGCCATATTTTGCGGGGAATTTCCTTTACATAGGCCATCATTTAGGCCTAAAATATAGACCTTACATAGATCAGTACCTCTGATTTTGGTACCGACCTGGAATTTTCCCTCAATTTATATAATGATAATATAATTATATTCTTGAAGTCTTGACCATTTTCACATTTGAACGCCATCAGCAGCATCCCACCTCAACGATGCCAGCCTGTGCAACATAGTCCTGGCAGGGAAGGAATGTGCAGAGATCAGTTGGATTTATCCGTTCAAAAAAGGGAGATACCAATGATTCACCAATGATGGTTATACGTTAGTGATGGCTAATGATGCTAAATGATGGTTGATGATGCTTAATGATGGTTATATGTTAGTGATGGTTGATAATGGTTAACAATATTGATAATGATGATGTTCATGGTGCACAATGATGATCAATGGGTAAACCCTCTGGTAAACATACAAAAAGCTATCGACAATCACCATTTTAAATTCATAATATCAGAAACATGTTATATTTTCACTTGATATTAGGTGATTGAACCCTCAAAATACTTTCGAACCTGGTTGAAGAGGCAACCTGCATAATCTGACAATGCATGATCTGATATATACATATGTATGGATATATTTGGCTATGTGGGTGGTTTAATGGCATAAATAACATGATGATATTTGAATTTCACATTCACAGGGATTTTCTATCGCGGATCTAACCACCATAGATCCGGGATGAAAAAACCGTGTTGAACATGGGTAGTTAACCCATTGAAACGGATTTTTTTCGGTCTGTCTAGAAAACTGGCTATACCTGTATAGCTTAGAATATATCTATATAATATATGTATATATATAATATATATAATTATATATATGATTGTATGGTGATTGGGTGATTGTATAGCATTCAAATTGGTCATATTACATTACTACATTCATGAAGAGTCAAGTGGCACTCCCCAATGGTACCCCCCAATAACCGGGGTTAAGACAGCCCCTAATAGAGTTTGATGATCATTCATAACCCCGCTGTTTTTTTATACACAGGAAATCTTTATAATTATTTGGATGTACGAGTACATTTTCCTGCAACATTTCCCTCAAACTCATCCATTGATATATTATCATTGCAGTTTGTCTCCAAAATCAGATATCCTCATTTTGTTATCCAATAGTTGGAATTTTAATTGGACCGTTCTCTTCAAAACCAGGACTTTGCTTTTGCAGCCCATGTGCAGATTTCACAAAAAAAAGGTTAGGACAACATCAAAGGCGTACCAGGGGATCCACACATGCACTTATTTTGTATCAAAACCGCTCAATGTTTTTGGGTACCCTCTGGTAATAAAAAGTGGCTATTGGAAATCCCCTACAAACGGATATTTTCACGGGAAAATCAACTATAAATGAAGGATTTTCCATGGCAACATGTGATTACCGGCGGGTAATAATTTTGAGCCATTGGCCATAACCATTTGCTTGAATGTCCCTAGACTTATCTTCTAATAATGGGTATGGAACCCATACAAATGGGGATAGAAGCACTGACCATTTTGTTTTTTTCTCTGATTGGGTTGGTTTAAGGAAAGATGTATGGATGTATGGGAAAGTATTGTTATTAGTCCTACCCCTCTAATATTTATGATCCCCAAAATGGATAGATCCTGCAGTCAATCCTGAGGCTTCTCGGGTGGTACTTACTATATATATATATATATTATATATATATTATATTATATATATACATATATTGGCTACCTATCCAAAATTCAAGATGGTTAAACTGTATTTAAACCCCATTGTTGAAGGTTAAGCCACCATCTCTATGGGGGCGGCAAAGGGATTATTTGATTCCCATCGGATAGCCCAACCAAAGATTAATGTCTTAACTCGCAAGTGTCGATGGTTAGAACCGATTTTTTTCCCTATATTCTCTGGTAAATCGAATAATAAACTCTCGCAATAACCAACCATGTGGGACCCGTGGGAGTGTAAATAATCCCATGTCTAGGGGCATACCGGCAAACCCAATGTCAGAAACCCAAATTGGGGATGTCCGGATGTCCGGGTTGTTGAGTCCTGATGGGTACTCCATTAAAATCCTATACCCTCTAGTAAACTAACATAGCTATGGAAAATCTCCATTTTTAATGGGAAAATCCAACATAAAGGGCCATTTTCAATAGCTATGTTAGTCATTACCAGAGTGTAATTCTGTGGATCCTGATCATATTTTTCACCGCCTCGCCATCTGGCTCTTCCACATAGGTGGACCTCAGTCTCAGGAGTCCGTCGACGGACGTTTCAAGCACAGATTTTCTGGAGAACATACCCCATGGCAGGAAGGTTCTCTAAGGGATATCTAGGAGAACCAAACACTTTCTTCAAGGGACATACTCTGAGTATATAGGTATTATACATAATATATATATATATATCTATATCTATATCTATATCTATCTATATATATATATATATTCTACATATATATATAATTATATATATATGGGTTTGTCTGAACATAAGTACCTCACATCTTGATGGTCCATCATCATTTTCCCCACTATGGCCATTTTTTTTTGGCACGACCAGAAAAACGACGATGATGGTCGTCCCCCCCTGTATTTGCTGATCATTTCACACTGGTTTCCGGTGATTTTTAAGCAAAACCAATTTTGCTGAGCAATCCATTGATACCCATCCATCAGCCCATCCCCATCCCCAGTTTTCTCATTTTAAACATAGAAAAAAACACCCCTTTTTCGCCATGGTAGAAAATCTCATTTTTGTCCGTAATCTGTCTCCGATTGTCTTCACTTTTCGTCCAATTCTCCAAGTATTTTTCATCCCTTCAGATGATCCCGTAAAATCACCAACCAAATATGAGTCAATGGGAAGGATGACATCCCATATATGAAATGGAAAATAAAAACATGTTCCAAACCACCAGTATAACTGTTAAGGGCCATTTTTGTGTATGTTAATTTACCTTAAGGTGATTTTCCATGATATATGGGAAAACCAACATACCTTGGTAAAAACCACCAACCATTCTATATACCATGTTAAAACCATGATTTTGGATATCTTTCTTCCATGATTTACCATGTTAATTTATGTTAATTTACCTTAAGGTGATTTTCAAATGTTCAAACCACCAGATCCACCATGATTCACTCACCATGCAGTCCTAGGTCTCCGGACATGCAGCAGTCCTGCCAGAACTCCTCGGCAAACTTCAGGGTGTCCTGATCCACCTGAAGCCGCGCGAACGCGAACGACATGGGATGAAGAAACCATCAAAACAAGTTGTGAGGCGCTCGATTTCCGGGAAAAATCCACGGAAAATGATGATTATATATGGTTATATCATGTTATCTCCACAATCGATGCTCAATTTTTGTGATATAGTATCCATTGAATTTCCAAATGATATACAAACATCTGACATCCATTGTATCGCGTGAATCATGACGAGATATCCATTGGTCCGTGCATAAAATATCATCAACCAACAAGCCACAGAGTTGGACAGAGTTGGACATAGTTGAACCCTCAAACTGCCATATATTTTGGCGGAAACTCATCATCCAAGCCTTTTTTGTTGGTCAAGCCGGGAGCTAACCCCTACAATTAATCATTGGTTATGTTTATGAACTTTTGATGTCCAATACCCCCGATTTCTAGCGTTACCCAAGTAGCACAGTTCATCCGAGGGGCCGTCAGCTGCAAGGGGAGAATTTGCAGTTCCACGCTGTACTCGGGTGCCACTTCCTGGCAGCGACAGGAGAGAAGTCAATAGGGTACTTTTTTGTGGATCATCGAATGGGATGATTTATGGATTAAATATGGATTATGGATATTTATGGATATTTATGGACCTTTGATATTTGGGTCTCTGAACATGGAAGACTAAGCCCTCAATTTTTGGGATCCGTCTGTACCCAAGCCTTTGGAAACACATCCTTTGACAAAGAGGAAAAGTGAATTCCATACATCACCAGGTTCAGTATTTCCAAGAAGAATCACCTGTCCCTTCAAATACTATGATTACAGTATACACTCCAAATGAATTGTGTTTCTTGGTGGAATTGGAAGGTCCTCTCTGTTTGCCTATCATCACCTTCCGATCCCAACGACTTCGAAAACCTGGAAGGACAGCAAACAGTTTTCCATTGTCACGTGATGTCCAGTTCCCACTTTGTTGGTACCCGCTGGTCAAATTTGGCCATGTTGGTCCTTCAGGCATGTAGAGAAAGGGCAAATAGATCAGACACTAATTCAATTTGAGCCCTATGGGTGTGTTTGAAAATGGGGTATCCGATTCCCGATTCCATGGGTTATCATCATTTTCCTCATTTTTTGCCATGAAGATATTCCTTTGGGCTGAATTATAATAATTCACTAACCTGAAAATAAAAGAACATAAGTGATTTAGGGGAAAATCCCCATATATAAACCATCATTTCAGTGACGTCACGACAGGTCACAACATAATTCATCCAGTTTCATCTTTGGGTACCTCCCAATTCTTGGATCAACACAAGAAACACCACGTCTCACGGGCTCAACAGTCCCTCTCCTGCGGTGCATCAGGCCTCAGGGCAACAGATCAAGGATGAAATGCCACCCATTTGGGTAGCCTCTGGTTATTGAACGGTTCGCGAACTGGAACATCACCATTCTTAATAGGTAAATCATCTATATATATATGTATATATATATAAAAATGAAATATCATAAATCATGGAACCAAAGGGCTGTGATTTGCGGTGTTGAGTCCCTTCGGAGATCTTTGAAGCATATGGATCCATAGGACACAGTTATAAACCCTAGGATACCAAGAGGTAGTGTCCAGCAACCCTCTACTACTAGTAGGTGGTAATCTTTGCAGTTCTGGGTGTGTCTGAAAAATGGGGGACACCCAAAATGTCTAAATATGTTCTAAATATGTCAAAGGGGACAATTATGATAAACCACGGGACTTTGAGGTACCCTTTTTGCACATCCAAACTCTGAAAAATGAGCTGGTTAGACTACAGTGGGCACATGTCTGGGTGGCCCACGTTTGGTGAATTGGTATTCTGTGTGAACCATCCAAACGTGTAGATTTTCTTGAACTATCTACAATTATCGCAAAAAAAACTGTTTGTGGGTTATCCAATTTGGTTATCCAATTTACCTGTTCAGCGAAATTGCTTCTGTATCACAAGATCTGCCATCATAGATTACATATGTTTGGCACTTCATTTTCGGAGTGCCTCCCCATAGGTTACATTCCACCTCTTTGGTGCCAAACACGACCAGCGGACCATCATTTCGATAGGTTACAGTATAGATTTCCCGTCAGGGGAAAACGCAGTCATTTTCCACATTTTGCAACTATTTTAGCAGGACTTCCTGTTTGTATCTTTCTTTGGTCTATCTTGAGTCTATATCATATATCCATGTATATACTGTATATACATACATATATATATATATATCCATATAATATACCTATGTATCACATAATTTTTCATATCCACATATATATATATATATACACATACATATACATATACATCTTATCCATGGATGTCTCCTCCCCTTTGCAGAACATCTCCACGTCCGTTCTGGGTCTAACAGGGCTGGTCAGATGTGCCGTGCACCAATTCATCCACCTGAGCTGGGCGATGGGTGAGACTTGGGCGTCCTAACAGGGCACATATTGGAACTTAAAAAAAAAACTTCGGTGAAACATGGTGAAATAACTAAAAACTATTAAACCATATTAAACCTATAAAGTAAAGACCATGGGTAAAACATATTATATACTTATATAGAACTATTAAATGACTTTGGTTCATTTAACGGTTCATTTCATGGTTTAATCATGGTAACTCATGAGATATGATCTCTAAAGAATCAAAGCATGAAATTGGCATAGTGTGAAACAATCAGTCAAGAAAAACTTTGCTGACATCCACTTGGCCTCCATTTATCGACAGAATTCGAACATGTTGATATATATATATATATACCCTCTGGTAATTTAACATAGCTATTGAAAATGGCCATTTATAGTGGATTTACCCATTGAAAATGGTGATTTTCCATAGCTATGTTAGTTTACCAAAGGGTATACACCAAAAAATGAAGAAGCTTTGTGCAGTTGAAACGAATCCGCTGATTCTCCAGCATGACATTCCAATGAAATAACTCATTTCAATAGGTCTAGAACGCACTTAAATCAGCAGGTCCCTGATCCTGGTGTTGAAGAATTGTTCTTGTTAAACCCCGCACATTTGATGGTCAAATCTCTCATTTCTCATGAATTCAACACATAGTATGAATCGGTACGAATGCTACCCCCCAACAGTGGAAGCTTAACAAACCCCTTTCATAAGGGTTAATTGATGTTAATTGGGCTCAAATACTAACCTCGAAACATCAGGATTAGCCTTCCAGTCGACCCAGAGTTGCTGGTACCATAGAATCTCCCCATTTATATCACTAGAGCTGTTGGTCACATCCCCGAAGTCTGTCCAAGATCATCACAGTTCTTTGGCTAAAGCTCCATTTTTGCCAGTTATACTTGACCATCCCATGATTTACCAACAATCTTCATGAATATTGCCATCGCATATCTCTAAAGTATCTATTACCCTCTGGTTATTTAACATAGCCATGGTATAGATGGCCCATTTATAGATGATTTTCCCATTAAAACCTCCATTTATAAGGGATTTTCCATGGCTATGTTAAATAACCAGATGGTATATCCATTACTAGCTGATTAAATCCCCATGAACTATGCAGTATTTGGTATATGTCATAACAATTCACCAAATCCATTCGCACAAAATTGGAAGCTTACCTTCTCATAAATTCTTATCATATTACTTCCAAATAAAAGGGGGATACTATATTCCAATTTATCTTACCACTTTCTATTCCCATAAAATATTCCCAATCCATATCTTCCATCAGTATTTACTAAATATTTGATGATAACTATATATTCCTGTACTATTCCCATCATATTTCATAGGATTATGATATGTTTCTATCTCAATACATCTATATAATTATATAATTATATATACCTTGTCTCCCTATTTATATTCATATATATATATATTCCAGTCAAAAACTCCCCATGCGGTATTCCTCATCCTCTTGGCCCGGCTCTGAGTCTCCCTGGCTCTGAGGTACAACATGTCCTCGTAGTGAAAAATGGCCGGTGTGGAAAAGGGTGGGAATTTATGGTGGGAACATGGTGAACAAATAGGAATTAAATCACCAAACACCATCAATGGTTGGAGAAACATTCACCGAGAATGGGGATTTCAAATGATTTAAAGGGATACACATCGGGATTTGACCAAGAAGAATGGAGATGTAATGGGACATCTAACCAGCTTGGTGGTGAGAATCATACTTCAAGGTTCTCTTTTTGATTTTGATGAGAACTGGCGGGTGGGCCCGGGTGGGTCTATTTATTCTACTAATAGTAATGAAGTTACCGGAAAAATCAACCATGGCAATGGACAATTCCCCGTTTTACAGATGACTTTCCCATCAAGACCTCCATGGCTAGGAGATCACCATGTCTTGTTGGGGGCCCCAATTCAAGCCACTCAGGAAGCAAGGTCTGGCCATTGAGACTTCCGGCCGACATGCTGGGTCTGGGCTTCTTCTCCTCATCCTACCAGGGTGCGAAGATGTCTGATGCTATGAAAAAAAATCATGGGGAAACAAGGGCAACTTACGAAACTATCAATCTGACTTATGTGAATAAACCATGGGAATTTATGGAATTTGGAAGTCTTCCCCAGGTTTTTGGAATGTCTTGCAGGGAAAGAATAATGATTGACTAAATTGACTATTGGATTGTGGAGTGGGTAGAAATGCAGCCACAAATGGCGATCGTCATACCTCCACAGCCCCCATAGTTTTGTCTCTGCGTAACCTTCCACATGTCCCTCTATGAGGCAGCATCAACCTTGCCAAAAGGCCAAAATCCCCAAGTTTCGCTGTACAAAGTGGGCCCCTAAATAGAACCCCCCTGTATGATATATCAACCAAAAACTCAGAATATCTCAAACATATCTCAAACCATTTTTTTCGCCTAGTCATAGACTGACTTGCTATGAATCAACTTGCCCAACGGGGGCCCATCGACGTCTATGCGGTGCACCTCAAAGCATGCCAGCACCCGCTGAAAGACGCTGCCGTGCACACGATCTTGGATGGCCTCAGAAAGCTTCAGGGAGCTTCCTGGATGTTTCAAGATCTTCGACTCTACAAATATCCAAAGCAGCAGTTGGAAAAATCCAGCAATATATAGCAATCAATGCCTGCATTCAAACTAGGAACTGTAAATTCATCACTATTTTAGGGGGATTTTGCGATTCTTCTATCTTTTTGGGGATGACATGGGATGACCAGGAGTTTCCCTGGCCACATAGTCTACAATAATATACATGTATAATAATAAACAACCCAAGAAGATGGACAAGTAGAATACGCCAATAACAGGGATTATGATTATGATTATCTTTTTGGGAAAATCAGATGATTCCGATTTTTCTATTTTCTGTCCATCCATTTTCAAAAAACGATTCCACTATTTTTATCCTTTTTTTTGGTGACTAATATGCCGTTTTTATCGGCCGCCATGGATTTGGCCCGGGCCTTTCCAGGCGCAACGTCCGCTCAACTTTTTCCGAGTTGCAAAGTCTCGAATGCCCAGGACCAGGCGACATCGCAGGGTGCTGCTGTCCACCTGAAGCTCCGTTGATCGTTATCCTGGGGCTGGTTTATGGATATCATATGATGTTTACAATGCAGTAAAAAACGATGAAATATGATGTATATGATGTATTATTGCGTAATATATACATAATCTTTTATGATTGTGCATAATGATGGGGTAACAATTGGACAATAATGTGGCGGTAACAATGGGATGATATTGGGTATATAGATAGTTTTGAAATGGTATATAACCGACAGAAACAAAGGGGTTCACACTCCTTGCGTGGATTTGTCCAAACATGGGGAATACGGTATACCCCAAACAATGCAACCTCAATGGTTGACATGATAATCAAGCATACAATTTGTGTAGTGTAGGCTCCTGATTAGTGTAGGGCCCCCCCAAACTAATTTTGGTTACTGAATAGTGTGGAAATTTCAAGAGGCCGGGTTCTGAATAGTGTGTGGTCAAAAAAATGATAGATTTCAATTGATTTCAATTTACTTTCAATTAGTTTTCAATTGATTTCAATTTATAGGAACCCACCAAACCCACATGTTTATAGGAACCCATCAAAAAAGATAGTATGTACGATGTTTAGTAGGATCTTAGCTGTCGATTTTTTTCGTGGGTTGGGGGCTTGTTGGGAAACCTTGCGGTGCTTTCAGCCATATTTCTACCATTGAAAACGGAGGTGAATCCTGCACATATTCCTTGTATCAAATTCTATGCTTCTACGGTTGAAGCATGGATGTCTGAAAATACCTACAACAATACCCATACTTAGTACTTCTGAATATCAAATATATGGATATCTTAGATATTTTATGCTTGTCATTGTTATATTCTATTGACACGTATCATGATTAATATGTCATTTACCATGAGATTTGGGGTACTCATTTTCCCGGGGAAAACACACACGAGACAACTTGGATCATCCCGTTTCGGAAGTGGAGATGAACCATGACACCATGGGTCTATCTGAAAATGGGCTATACCCCTCATTTTGAGTGGGAAAAGGCTGATTATGAAAAACGGATTCATTGAGATAGGTAATGTCATTATCATATTTTGAGACCAAAGCCACATGAAACAATGAAACAGTTGAACATATCTATATAAAATCCATTAAAATCCTATCCACCTCTCGGCTGGCTAAACATGGTGAATCTTGGATACCTGTCAAAAACATCTATAATTTTTGGCTGGCGAATGTACGAATCTACTCATTTGACCATCGATAACAACAGATTGAAGTACTATAGTTAATATCTAATACCAAGGTTGACCCAGTAACAAATCAAACACCGGTCTCCAAGTGGCACCCCATCTGTGCCCAAACCAACCCCTTGAGGCTTGCACCAATTTGCGCGCGCCCACTCCGCCTCAGAAGTCATGGAATGCACAAAATATCACACAACCAATGACCTGAACATATTGCTGAATATTACAGTAGTTGACCTTGAACAATTCCGTATCTATATCCATATTTATATATATATAATTATATTGGATACAGATATGTTTTCTGTCATTAACCAACCATTATGTTATGCATAGATTGATGGATAAACCCACCATTGCTTGACCTTGAAATACAAAAATCACCGAGGGAATCGAGCTTCCAGGCGTGGCAAAGTGGCAGGGAACCTCAGCCAGCGAGGTGGTTGACGTCCATCTTTTCGTGAGACATCGATAGTTCAAAGCACCATTAGACCATCAACATACAATCAAACGTTTTCAGAAATCTTTCGAATCACTATCTAACATATTCTAAAAACACTATCCGATCACGAAACCAACTAGCCATCAATTCAGGATCAAAACCATTGAATTAACATCTTTCAAGTCAGCATCAATTGCAGTAAACAGTAAACCATCAACTAAGCATCTCAAACCTTTCAAGTAAGCACCAACTCTCTATCAATGAACCATCTGAAACATGAAACACCATCAGCAATGAAAAATCTGAAATAATATACACTAAATATACACTAATATGGGCGGTTTGTCTAAAAAATCATGGATCCACAAACCACTTCTCTGGGACTCCCAGGCTGCATGTACTTGGCCTCCACCATGCCCAAGTGCACCTACCAAGAACCAACAAGGCAACAATCAAACAACGGGGGGCTCTTAGCCTCTGGTAAACGTTTACAAAACTATGGAACATATCACTATTTTTTCATGAGGTAATTCAACTATTTCGACTGGGCAATTTTCAATAGCTATTTTGACATAACCAGAGGGTAAGTCATGGGGGATCCTCAAATCATCCAAGTTTGCAAACATGTCATAGTGCACTAATACCCCATAGGATCCATGTATGCTATATATGGCAACATTTACCATCAATATACCCCAAGTGTTAGCATATATACCATATATGGATCCTATGGGTACCAGGTAAGCATCAAGTTCGGCTCCGCCACGATTTCAACATACCCAAAGGATGAGATTTCCCCAAGTCCGACAGCTCCGAAGTCATGAATGAATCCATGGGACTCTTGGGTATACAACCATAGGCTGGTGAATATCCCATTCATCATTCTCAAAGAAAACATTGTCCTGGTCGGATTTGATGATCATTCCCATTAAAACAATTATGATACATATATATATATAGATTATAATCCAGTAGTGGAATACCTACATACCCATTATAACATGTATATATATAGTATACACAACAATATCCCACTTATCTCCCCTCAATCATATCCTTATAAACTATCCCGTTAATGTCACAATCCCCAAGAAATTAGCTAGAGTCCCTATGACTGAACCAATCCAGCAAGTTGTTTTTCTTTCATGGCTTATAAATATATGTATATATATATATAGATATGGCTCATAAATATATGTATCTATATATATATATATAGCTAATATATATATATATATACACTGCAGTATATATATAATATCATATCTATTCCACATGAGTACTAAAGTTTGAGCCATGTGCAACCGCACCCACCACCCAGCGCAGCGACTCGCACCGTCAAATGTGAACGACTGAGGCGATCCGTGGCGAGGCTGTCCTGGGACGATGCAGTCGAAATGTAGATTTCCACGGGAAAATTGAAATTTAGAGCTGATTTATGGCTGAATTATTTTTTTTAAAGGGTATTTAAGAGCTGATTTATGGGATTTTGAATAGGAAAATTGAGGTGATTAGCTGATTTATGCTATTTTTAAGAGGATTTAGAGGTGATTTGTGGGATTTCATGGGATAGAGCTGACTGAAAAGGCTACAGTATAATAGCTGCTATAGCTATAGCATTGGTTTATGATTTCCCGGCTAGAAACCTATATGATCCTATATGTATCGGGGATTCCCAACTCCAAGATTGGATTACCAGAGGGTAATCCGGAAACATGCTATGATGCGGATGAAACTTGAATAAGCCCGTATCTTCAGTGTAGGCGGCCAGTCACTGGAGCATATACTTTCCATCCGAACTGCAAACGCGATTTCCACGACGAAAGCTTAAGGAATGTTCCCAAGCCAACCAGGCATAGTACTAGTTTGCTACTTTCTGTTTCTTGTGAAATACCTTCAAGATAATAATTTTTCAAATTATCCAAATATCAGAAAAGTTATTAAATTAGATTTTATTGTCAGTCATTTAGGTAAAGGATTACTGTCTTGGATTTGCTCAAGTCCCTCCCAACAAAAATATAACTATTCCCTGTGGATTCCCCAAATGGTGTATTTCCCATTGGGAAAGTCAACAATCACCTGAAACAAACCCATGCTATCACCCAGTTGTGGTGATTAAGAAGTTCATCGTCTACCACAACGGGACAACTGGAGGCGGTAACATATCATGCCTGAAGATAGGTAGCCTCCAAGAAACATCGGTTTGGTCCTGGATCATCTTGGATCTATTCATTTCTGGACGACCATATCAAGGTCTTTTATATTAGAAAAAAACTGAGGCAAATCTTCAGAAAAAAAAAGAAACTCCCACCGCGCTCCTTGTCAGACCATGCTGCAGCAAAGTCTGATCCCTGGAGCGAAGTATGGGATTCCCCGTGGATTGTAATCTTCCCCATGATATTGGTTGACGGTTATAGATGGTAGTATCATTAGTCATTAGTCATCTAATCTATAACGGTTCTTATAGTTCACCATAGTTACACATAAGTTATAATATGACATTCTGATTGGTGGTATGCTGTACCTACCCCTCTGAAAAATATGAGTTCGTCAGTTGGGATGATAACATTCCCAACTGAATGGAAAAATAACAAATGTTCCAAACCACCAACCAGTATTGGTTATAAATGGTTATAGATGATAGTATCATCCCGGAAAAAAAAAAACATCAACTAAACCCCAGTTTGGCTTGAAAATCAAAGGGTTCTATCTTGTCTTCCTATGGCATATGCATGATTTGACTTGACTCTTGAAAATAGCAGTGACACAGGGCCGACCAATCGGGGTCTTCACTCTGATTGCCAAATCCACCCAAGAATTCCTCAAGCCACACCCGAACTAGCCGCACTCCAAATGGAGGGACTACTGTGGGATGAACAAAATCGTTGTTAAACGGCAAAGAACTATATAAACTACCAAAAATAACCATGCGTTCAGGCGTTCAGTTGTCCCAGCAGTTGTTATCCTTACATTCATCATCAGTAATGTCTCTGAGTTGGCAATTTTCCATCATCATAATGTCTAATATATATATATATGTTTTCCATCATCTCTAAGTCTATATCTACTATCAACATCCATAAACCCGTATAGAATTCACCCATTCATTGGCCAATTCGCCCGACTCAACGGCGCGGCGCCTCGTACACGGTTAGGTTCAACTCATCGAGGTGCAGCCGGACCACGGTCATGGGCTTTGGCGCCTAACATTACGCAGCTCTGGCGCCATAGTATCTATCTGTAGATATGTGATATTTCCTATATCATATCATAAATACAATATTACATATAGTATATTGTATATATATGTATGTATATTGTATATAAATATCATGAACGGACCATCGTTGAATCTCATTGTCGCAACGCGTTTTGATTAGAAGTTTATGTCTCACAATACTTAGAACACGTTTTTAGACAGTCCAGGTCCAATGATCCAATGGTTTATCATAATACACCCCTATCAAATAGTCATATGTTTGTGTGTATGCCGAAGTTTTGGGCACACCTAATAGTCAGATTGCCCCTGTGTATCCTATTGGTGATTCCCCATCTTATCCTCATTGTCCCTTCATTACTGTACCATCTATAGTTAAAGTATATATAAATATATAACTATATATATATGTGCAATATATATATATACACAATTATATACAGAGATTACATCTACTTAGGCATTGTTTGAACTTCTCCTTACCTGCACGCTCTACCGCCCCATAAAACACATCTTTGCTGCCACACCCATCGCGGAGCTTCGAACCTATCGCAGGCTATGGGAGATTTGGAAACTAAACAAAGGTGGGAACCTAATACTTGGTGAACAAATGTTTAAACCCGAGAATACTGGGATTGTTTATGGGATTTCTTTGGCTATGGTCTGATGGGCATCATCAATGGATTGATTTAGACGCACATCTTATATGGAAACCGTAGTTATTGCCAGAAATATGGATGTGTGACCTGTCGTCTCATCCTTTGCTGGGGGGGCCTAGGAGATCTGATTTTGGCCCCTGGTTTTACCAAAATCATATTGTAATACCCATCGTTTTGGGGAGATACAATCTTAACCCATACGCAAATGGATATGCATTTGCTTTTGAAGCAAAAGACTGGGATTTCCACTGAAAGTTGGGTGGCAAATGGTAGCGAGCCATCACTAACATATTGTTTGGGCGGGTTTCACACCAACTGATACAGAAGCAGCAGGCATGATCTTGTAATTCATGAATGGAACAATGGGAAGCACTTTAAAACCAACAAAACATGTATGTATATATAATTATATATAATATGTTATAATATATATATATATATATCCATTGTATATGATCGCCAGCCCCAGTTTGATGCCACCTTCGGTTGCCCAGTTCTCCGCGGACAAAGTAGTCCTGCGAAAAGTGGGGGTTGGTGGTCTATAGCTACCCCTTTTTTCACAAATAGAACAGTACCTTTTGAAAAGTATATCAAATAAAACTAAACTGGCGGTCAAGGTAACCATGTCTTTCTTCTTTATTATTTTTTAAGATGCTATGCAGTAAAATTGAAGACCTCCGAACTCTTGCTTGTATAAGCAAAAGGTAAGGGGTGATACTGTAGGAGCGTCACCATCGAGTTTCATTGGATATTACTTTTCCCGAATATCTTTTATATTGCATAATCCATATCGCCGAGCAGCAGCCGGCAAGAAGAAAATCGCATACTGGAGGAACCATCCGGCAAGTAGCAGTTTCCATGGTAAACATGAGCCTGCAAAAAAAACAAGCAGGACAATATCACATTCCTCTCTCTCACAATGCTCACAAAAACAAATAAAAATCAACCCTTCACCAACTTTTTTTTTCAAAACGCACACACACACACATAATGAATACAATCCATACAGTATTAAAACCAGACTTTCACCACCACTGCCACAAACTCATCACCCCACCGGCGCCGACATTTTTCACGTGGCTCTCTGACCGTTCGCGTGTCAAGACCGACCCGTCGGTCACCACTCGAGCTCTTTGCCAAGCTCAGCTGTGAAGCGAATGGACCAAAAAATGCCGAAAAAACAGAAAAGAGAGGAACATGTGGAGGAAACATATTTTTGTCATAGTTCACTAGCATCCTGGTTTCACACGTTTTCAACTATCTTTTTACAATTTCTTGATGGGTCAAACCAACAATCATGTAGATTCAATCACCACATTTGGATACATTTGGATGAGTTTGGGGGTCTCAAACAGCAACAACATGTCATTCATGTGATTTAAGGAAACAATCATGACCAACACTACTGATGATTTATGTGAACATGACTTTGTTAGAGGGTCATGGCGGCTTAAGCACCAAAAATAAACTTTTAAAATGGTTCCAGCATCAAACAAATGAATTGAACCATCACTTGTTTGCTTCTTAACCTGCAAAAATGATACCCTCCGGAAATCAAACATGGCGATAGAACATCACCTATAAAATCCTATGAGCAAATATAGGTCTTCATGGGAAAATTGGTAAACAAAATCATCTATAAATGTGATTTACAAAGGGGTGATTTTCCTTTGCCATGTTTCTGTGTAGAAGTCATCTTCCATCCTCGATTCGTGGCAGAGTCTATGTTACAATGTCGTGCCAGTGAAATGTTTGTTGGTTCCAACCCCATGAACTAGTTCATTGGTGACAATAATATCATATAATTAATATCAATACATTGGTTATAACTAGGTTAATGAAATCTTCGGGATATCTACCCTAGCATCAACCACGATGCATGACATTTGAAGAACTGTGCACACCAACGAAAAACGTCACCCTTCACTGGGGCAACGGCTCTCGTGGGGGGATGGTGTAAGCTACGTATGGAAAAACGCGATTTGAAGTACCCGGCCTGGTAAACGTTTACATAACTATAGAAAACCATAATTTTTAATGGGTAAATCCACTATTTCTATGGCCATTTTCAATAGCTATGTTAGTTTACCAGAGAGTAAATAATCTATAAATTTGGGTAAATTATAATCTTTCACTAACCTGAATCTTGCGGCCATTTGGGGATGATTTCCCTAAAAAAAGCCATGATTCCAGGGTTCGGTCGCGACGTGAGCTCGTTATAATTTACCCAGATAAATGGCCCTTATTTCAATGGATTGGTTTAAGGGAAAATTTACAGGAAACCATGATTTTTACCATTAAATATGGGGTTTTCCTGTAAATTTTCCCCTAAACCAATCCATTGATTGTTGTGGGCAATCCATCCATCTCCATCCAGCCAAGTGTCCACCAGGGGGGCGAGCTCGGTGCCTTCGACTTCTTTCGTCTCCAGCGTCCACTGCAGGACTGGTTTGGAGCGACGACCTTCCCGCCTCAGGCGTAGATTGAGTTACTGGTTGGTAATATGTGCTTAATATACTGGTAATGATATGATGGTTAATATGTGGTTAATATGTGGTTAATATGTGGTTAATATACTGGTAATGATGGTTAATATGTGGTTAATATATGGTTACTGATAGTCAATAACTATCTGGTTGGTGGTTGACCAACCCCTCTGAAAAATGATGGAGTTCGTCAGTTGGGATGATGACATTCTCAATATATGGAAAAATAAATTCATGTTCCAAACCACCAACCAGGTTATTACCAGTGCTTTTGGCAGACCCAGCAGATTGGATTTTATTTGGAGTCAGGACCTAATTTTATGAAGCCATCATTTTTCATGGGAATCATGGCAATGATCGGGTTGGGTCCCAAGCTTCCCACTTCATTCCTTTATCACGTCAACTGGGACCACTGGCTCCTGGGAGTTGCCGCCAAATGCCGTGGTTTTTGTATCAACACGAAAACTCAGTACGTAAGTTCCATAAAATCCCTAGGGCCCTAGGATGGTTCTTAGTATATATATATACATATCTATCAACATATTTCAACTAAGTCACTTTCAGTTCATTTCAGGTTCCGTGTGCTTGGGCAGTTGAGGTTAGAAAAGGCGACTTAGTGGTTCCCAACTTATAGGGCTTATTAGCGGAGTTACCCTCTGCTTCTTCGTCGTTACATATCTATGGTATAGATGTGTCCATTAGTCCGATGATACAGAATCATGATTTACCGAACTTAAACATGGCGAGTTTCGAAAGCTATGTTAAATCACCAGAGGGCATACATATATGGTCCTTTACCAGTTATAAGTCAGTTATAATCCCATTTATGGAATGATAACTCCGTGTATAAACATAGAAACAACTAGTTCCTAGGGCACTGCCAAAAGAATCAGGACATGATACAGGTTCTAAGTCAGTGGAATCACATATAATCACCCCATTTATGGTGGAACTAACCCCAAGTGGCACCCCCTTAGAGGATGGTCAAAGCTTAAAAAACCAGCCGTCGCGTTTCGAGCAACAGCTGGCTGTCGAAGTTCATGACCTTGAAGCCAGCCGTCTCCTTGGCTGACATGTACAGTATATATTTATAATGGATACATCATGGACATATATATTACTCAACTATATATCATAAATGTGTATAATATCATATATGTAGTCCATCTGACATGTGTTATATGATATCATACACATATAGTTACTTTTACTCAATGGAATATATATATATTAATATGGTAGTATAGCATTGTATTATTCATAAACTATACGATATAAATATACATATATATAATATAGTTACTTCTACTTCGATGCACTAAAATCTGGACCAATTCGAGGTGATCGCCTTCTGCAGCTCAGCTTCCATGGCTTGTGACCACTCCGCCGCAGCATCTTTCCTGAGAACTCGCCATGGAGAGTCACCCGAAACGGTGTCATCAAATGTGGCTGCCTGGAACATCCCCCATTTAGTTCGATGGTTTTCCTAGCTCAAACATCTATTGGGAATTTTCCAGCCACGTGTGATGAGGGTAACATATCTTCAAATGCCCAAAACGGAGGAGACGGAATGCAATGTGACCACTTCATCAATGGATTGGTTTTTCTCGGGAAAATCTATGCCTGAAACCAGGGTTCCAATTTTTAAATATAGAGATTCCTGTACCCTCTGGTTATTTAACATAGCCATGGAAAATTACCATTTTTAATAGGTAAACCATCTATAAATGGGCCATCTATACCATGGCTATGTTAAATAACCAGAGGGTAAACGTTCCCATCGCCCAATTTCCAGGATTTCAGGCACCTAAACTGCAGATGCCGAAATCTGTAAGGCCTCTGGAATGGATCATACCCCCACAAAAAAAGGCCTGCATAGTTGCCGAATCAAACATGAAATTGTCCCGAAAATAGGGCTATAGGGTATCCCAATCATATCAAATACCATATATTAGTCAATATAACATAATCAGATATCAAATATCATATATCATATCAGGTCATGTATAAAAATATATACACAATGCATCTCATGCTTTTCTTTGGCCTTTTTTTTTTCGGGCGATAGTAAAAAAAAAATATCTCCAGATGATTGGAGCCAAGACTCTGATACCAATTTCCCTCCATAATCGCAGAGCCACCCTCCACCACCTCGATGAATGGGATGTCCGATTCCCGCGCACACATGATAACACCACAAGTGCGAATGGCGAAGCCACCAATCAACAACATTCATCAGCCATGTTAAAAACCACAAATCAGGTCACCAACTCTACATTCTACATACCCTCTGGTAATTTAACATAGCTATTGAAAATGACCATTTATAGTGGATTTCCCCATTGAAAATGGTGATTTTCCATAGTTATGTTAGTTTACCAGAGGGTAGCCACAACAGTAAACTGGATACGCGCCATCCGTCCGGGTCACAAAGAGCAACCCACGATGATCTCGCAGACACTGTCGCGCTTTGGCCTGGGGACTGGAGAACGGGAACTATTTGATAGAACAAAGCATGCCTTGGCATGGAAGGCTTTTTTGGGGGACCATGGGATATAAATATATATATATATATATCAGTATCACATATGTCTTAATGTATTCTTTAATTTGAATGGCGGCCGTAAAAAAAATCATAAGTACGCCAAGAGTGGAGCTCGAATGGCGCCTGAACGCCAAAATGTCCGCATCTCTTTTTGAAACTGGTGGCCACGGAATTCCATCAGCACAGCTGTGAGTAGTATTTAACCATCCAAAAAGGACAATATATATATATATATGCGCATATGTATGCATATTTATATATGTATATACATATATAATATGTGCACATCTCTGAAAAAAAGACTCGTGCAATATCCTGCAATACTAAAGTAGTTGTTCAAACATTTTGACCGTGACTCATATGATTGTAAATGTAATTCATGATAAGTTAGTTTGCAACTAGGCTAACTGTTGGGCTATACTTCCAATAGACAAATAGAAAGCTTACTACCATAGGCCCCACGGTGCAGTACTACCATTTCTTGCAGGATGGAACATCCCTCTCCTGGACCATGCTTGCTGGTATACAATTTGCCTGCCTCTACATTTACCATCTGGTTATGACTAACATAGCCATGGAAAATCACCATTTTTAAAAGGTAAACCATCTATAAATGGGCCATTTTCCATGGCTATGTTAAATAACCAGAGGGTACCCTCAAACCCGAGTCATGCACACTACCTCTTTCACTGAACATGTAGCCAGGTTGATTCTTTTCTTCAACAGCTGAGGAGGCAACGGAACCACCGTCACCATATCTATGTGTCTGTCCAGAAATGGGGTATACCCACGGTTACAGTCCTTTTACTAGAATGATGATAAATCATGATTAAATTCCATTGCCCTAATCCATTGTTCATTGGTTAACCCCCTATTGTTGTTGAGTAAATCCATGTTGCCGTTGTCGTTGCTGTTGTTGTCGTTGTTCAGTACATCGCAAATGTGGATGAGTTCATCCCCACGATCCACCAAGCGACCACCATTTCGATGCGCTTCTCCGGGCTGGGGAGGAAGGACAACACCTAGCTGTCGGGATGGCAGCTTCACCCGGTTCAGTTCTTAAAAACAAGAATGAATATGAATGGATCTGATGTGTAGATATATCATGATATATCTAGTAGGATATTGCTGGGATATTGAGATGAGTGTAGTTTCGTATCCGTTTCACCAAATATTTTCAGACACAAAATACCCTCTGGTAAACTAACAGTTTGCTATTGACATGGCCATAGAAATAGTGGATTTACCCATTAAAATGGTGATTTCCCATAGTTTTTCGTTAATGTTTACCAGGCCGGTAGTAGCTCCTCCCACGTTCTTTCGAGCTGCTAGAGAGAGCACCACCACATCAAAGGACGTTGCGACAAGACCCTGGCGAAGTGCAGTCGGGCTGGGACCATCTTCCAACGCCAAAGGCAACATCTATGATCGCTATGGGGAATCTACCCTCTGGTAAACTAACATAGCTATGGAAAATCACAATTTTCAATGGGTAAATCCACTATTTCTATGGCCATTTTCAATAGCTATGTTAAATTACCAGAGGGTATCCATGAAGTGATGTGGAGAACCAACTATTTGATTTCCTAGGGAAACCATTGGTTTGCCACATCCATGTTAGTTTACCCTGGATAACATTGAAACAAAGTGCAACCATTGGGTGGATCATCATTTACCAAACCGAGGTTTACCCGGAATGGCTCCTGGGCTATATACAAAAAAATCACTTGCCGAGATCAATGATATATAATGATAGCGACTAAATGACAATTAGTTCAGTTTACATCGTTGTTATGATACAGTAACTCAGTTGATGCAATGATTGTTAGTTGAAAAATGTTTATAGTGATAGCATGATACTGGACTCAGCCTCTTATTTGATTTATTTGTATCATGTATGTTCATCTTGTCACATTCTCTCTGTTCTTCCAACCCCCCAAAATATCCCTCAAACAAATTGTACACAGAATTCTTGGAGTAGCCGCTTCTAAACCCCAAACTATCTATTGGGTTCCTGTCCATGCCATCCAATCCTCAAATGACACAACACTGTCAGGCCCATCTCCGAATCTTCCCTTTGCTCACCATTACTCATGTTGAGGTATAGGTCACGGCATCACCCAAATCAATGGCTAAGCAGCTCAACTGATCTGATTTTATGGTTTTTTTAATTGCTTGGGAATGTTGTGAGTCCCATTGTTGGGAGCCACTGGTCACATCGCATCTGTTGTTTCAGCCGCACGGCACCTCCAACTTCCCGTCCTTCACGCAAAGGGGGGACTCCGCGTCGGGTGCCTGACATCAGCCAGTCTTGGATGATTTTGAGGTCCATCAGTGTCCAAAAAACCACCACATAGGTGCAAGAAACCATGATTTGTAATGGTTTGTCTGACAATGTCAAACATTCAGAAAAAAAAATGCGGTTAAAGACATGATTTTGCCTGATCATTTGATGGCCATAGATGGTATACAACCTATTTTCAGACACAGCCATAGGTGGCCAGGGGTTGGAGACCATGTGGGTCTGTCTGGGTTCTCATCATGTTGGGGGTGTAGCCCATTTTCAGGCCCATGTCATGAGTTTGCGCAAGTCAAACTATACAGAACTGATCCATCCTGGTTGCTATCTATGGAAATTCATATTTGAGACACCCAGTTTTCCGCCCGCCGCCCCACAGCTGAAGCGCCGCGCAGGATTTCTTGAAACCATCCAGCAAACTTTGGCTGACTGCTGAATCCTAACTCCTACACTGATGGGCCCCTACTTGTTATACAGACACATAAATGTGGAACATTCACTGCTTATTGATCATGTTCAGGGGGTTCTCTATGACTTGTCCTTATATAAGTTATGTTCCCCAATGTGTTCTCCAAATTTGCATGTCAATGTACAACTGGGGAATAGGGGCCCATCATATGACCGCAACATCTATGGCCATCTTTCAAAGGTTCGCCGACGGATGTGGAGCAGCATCTCCAACGATTGGTAAGTTAAGCAAAGAAGTGTTCGGTCTATTAATAAAACAATGACAGCCCCATCAATATACGCAACGAAAATCAAGTAACCCCGCAACTGGATATAAAAGTAGCTTGTAATTTATCACTATTTTGGGTGGGACTTTGCTTAGATCGGTAAATCAAAAGAACATAATATATATATAATTATATATATATAATTATAGGCATTGGCCCAATTGCCTACCAGAGGTTTGCCCGTTAGCACTGAAGGTTGGGATACTGTAGACTCGCAATGGTTCTTCCTTTGTTCGGGTGCCCAAATCCCTCCATCGATGCTCGTATCTCTGGGGTTTTCCAAGTGATTCGCAAGATTGATGAGACGCTTTTTTCATGTACCAGACATCCCAACTGCACTTCGGCGCTTCTCGCTGGGGCTGATCTTGCATTGGGGTGCATCAGTGTGTATGATGCGAAGGTCATGGAATGTGGGGACATTTTGTGTCTCCTTTTGGATGAAGCAGCTTGGTGGAAATTCAATTCCCGATTTGGGAAACTCCCTGTCACCCAAAATTGTCGAACTGTGCGCTGGCACTGGCGCGATGAGCATGGGAGCTAAGTACCTAGGGGCCGACCCCATCTTGGCTGTTGATTGGAATCCCAAAGTTGTTGATTTGTTGTCAGCCAACCACCCTGGCACCACCCTTCAACTTGACCTGACCAGCAGTGATGCAGCTCGGCAGATTCATGCCGCTTGTGAGGGCAGACCAGGAACCATCTTCATGGGCTTCCCCTGCCAACCACATTCTCAACAAGGCCAGCAGTTGGGCTGTGGTGACTCACGTGCTGAAGTGCTATGGCATGGTTTGCACATCGCCTTCATGCTCCAAACACAATCCCTCATCTTGGAGTGCACCCCCTTGGCCGGGGACAACATCGAGATCCAGAACAGCCTAGCTTCCTTAGCTGCAGCAATGGGTTGGGTCGTCAAGACGGTTGTCATTGATTTGTTGGATGTTTGGCCTTGCAAACGACAACGTTGGTCGGCGCTTTTGTTTCCCAGTCAGTGGAATCAAATTGGGCTACCGCCTTGGGATTTGCATTCACCATTTGATAGCATTCAGACAATCCTGTCAACCTGGGGTCAGTGGCCATTTGAAGACGAAATGGATCTTCGATTGACACCTTGGGAAATGGAACTCTACCATGATGTCAGTTTCGGTCACGACCGTCGAGAGCTGGCGCTGCATTGCACGGCAGCCACCATCCTGCATTCGTATGCGAATGCACTGGGCCCTTGTCCCTGCTGATGCCGGCATCGTGGATTTCATCTCCTGACTCTTCGAACTGGGGGACTTCGTGGACAATATGTCATTTCGAAGGAGACGGGGGCACCACGATTTTTGCACCCCAAAGAAGCCGCACTTTTGGTGGGCGTACTGGGCAGTTATGAGTTTGTCCATGAAGTCAGAACTTCCCTTGCCATGTTGGGACTAGTAGCTTCACCACTACAAGTCATCTGGATTTACGGACATCTCCTGCGTAACCATCGCATCACCTGTCAGAAGCTCCCTTGTCCCAGAGTCGAAGACTGGCTACGTGCCTATATGGGAGAATTGATGACTCAGGCATCTCTTGGATTTTCACCAGTTCCCACTCCATGGACTTTGGACTTTTCCCTGCTTGGGTCATCAATGTCACTCAGCATTAACCAGCCCAGAGTTTCAGTTGCACAACTGCTGCAAGCGGAACGCATCTCCTTGAACTGGAATGAAAGTATCTCACTCTTTCACCAGGAGAAACGGCTTGGACTTGACGCCTTCTTGACTGCAGCAACTGAGACCTCCATCCAGCTTCACCTTCAGGCCGGCCAGGATGACAGAAAGCAACCTACCCAGGCCATTGTCATTGCCATCCAACATCAAGATCACCATCAAGTTCACCTGGTTCCACCAGGCAGCTTCCTCTTCGAGATCTTGGCTGAAATTGGACTGCCATTGGTCAGAAGGGTGTTGGACATCCATGACAAGATCCTGCCGGTTGACTTGAGGATTTGGCACCCGATTGCTGTCAAGACTTTGACGGAAGCACCATGGCACCAACCATCTGGTTACTTCCGCCTGGCCCATGGTCCTTCTCTTGACCCACAACGTGGTTTACACGATGGCCAAATCTGGGCTGGAATTTGCCAACTCACTCAGGCTGTATTTGGACACTGCTGTCCAATGATGATCATCCATCCTGCGCTGGTTCCGGCACTCATGCATCATTGGATCTCTCCGATCCATGTCCAGCAATTGCAGCTTCAATTCCAAAAGACCAACAAGGAGATCATCTGCATCGCCGAGATTGATGGCCACTGGATTTTGCTCTATGGCCGAGAACACAGGCAATGTCTCCAATGGATTTTGCTGGATGGCATCCAGACCAACCTCAACACCAAGGCCTTGGACTTGATGGCCAATCTCTCAACCATCCTGGGTTTGGACTTTTGCCCTCCTCTCTCAGCATGCTGGACACAGCAGTTGGAAAAGCACACATGTGGCACTGTTGCCCTGGCACATCTTTTCATGTTGCTGAACCCTGGATTTATGGTTCCTGCAACTGCGATTACCTGTCTCCACGACTGGATTCTGCAACAGCTCCCATTGCAGGGCAGCATCTTTGCCACAGGTCTCAATGAGCTCTCAACGGATCAGAAGGAGAAGCTCTGCCGACTTCTCCAAGAACACGGAGTTCCTGAGTCCAAAGTACCAGAACGAGTTCAACAAGTCATTCAGAAGCTGGGGGTCCCGGCCATTGTGGCTGCCTTTGTGGCAAAGAATAGCTGGTCTCATCTCAAAGCATCAGCCAACAAGCCTGGGATCGCTCTTCGTCTTGTACTACCTGACGAATTGGCACGACATGCTGAGCGAACTGCGATCTCAAAATATGGAGCTGGGATCTCAAATCACAAGAACAAGAAGAAGACAGAGAAAGGACCTGAACCAATCCCTTCTCTTGATCACACTGACTTCATACTACAAGCAGGGCACTTCAAGGATGAAGATGGTACTGCATTGTCCCAGATCTCCTTTGCGGACATTGAAGCTGAAGCGGGGGGCATTGCCATTGCGACAGTTCAACAAAGCCAACAATGGCTTCAGCAGACATCTTCCATCAGCTCGCAAGCCCTCGCTATCCTGACCACTGAGGAATTACCCTCGGAACTGAGGCTCAAGTATGACATCTCCAAGACATCTTTTCCCGCCACCTACAAGGGCACTGGCGAACCCGTTCTGATCTTTGGCTGCCTCAAAAATCTGGGCGACAAGAAAGTCAACCGACATCAAGCAGGTGAATTGGCCCAGATTGACATCATCCCAAATGTTGTGGTCAGGCTCCATGTTTACCGTGATGAACTTCAAGCTCCATGGCAAGACTTGGTCAAATCTCCGGTTCGCCTGTTGAGCACTCTTCTTCTACCTCTTCAACTCTGTGCGGGAGATGGTTGTGGCCATGATTGCAGCAAGACCCATCCGGCAGTTGGAGAAACACTTGACTCTGTCATCATGGAAGTTTGGGGCAGATCCTTTGGGAAGATAGAGGGTGGCAGAATTGGAGCTCCTGAAGCTTCCTACTTCTCTGTCTTTCTTCGGGTCCCTGAAACTTCATTGAGGCAATTGCTACAATCCAATGTTCAGGGCATCTACATGGATCCACGACAAGACAGGGGACCAGATGATCGCTTCCGGGTTGTGTGGCTCACTTCACGCACTCTTGTTGAAGCCCAACATGCTTGCAAGACCTGCCTCAAAGCACTTGGACTTGTGCGTCTTCGCTTCAAATACGGCCTCAGAGTTGCGGCAGCTGACGAAGAAATGGCCTTCAAGCAGCTGAAGCCAGATGCCACATTCATTGCAACCAGAGTGCAACGTACCTTTCAGCTGTTCCCTCTGCCGCATAGGCTGCAAAGAGCAGGCCTGATCAAGATCCTGAATGAACTGCAGTGGACAGCAAAACCGCTGCAACCTGGCCGTGGACAACAAGATGGAATCTCATGGCAGGTCGGATCTACAGACCCGCCTCCAACTACAGTGTTCACCAGCTTTGGCAAGGAGGTTCTGATCACAGAAACCACAAAGAAAGCGGTCGAGGTGAAGCCAGTCACGTTCTTGGCCTCTTCCAAAACTCAGAAGCACTTGCGTGCTGAAGCTGGCACATCCTCACAAACTATCACAAATGCTGACCCTTGGCAAGATGTGGATCCATGGATGAGTTGGCGGCCAACCTCCACTGAAGCGCAGCCGCCGAAATCTACCTCAGGCAAGAGTCATTTGGCTGAGGTCACAGGCCAACTACGAGAAGAGCTGCAGGCATCCTTTCGAAAGGAACTTGACGAGTTCAAGCAGAACCAGGATGCCACAATGCAAGACACTGCAGCACCTGCGACAGAAGATCGCTTTCGACGATTGGAGACCACCATGGGGGAAATCCAAGCACAGCAGAGCCAATTCAACCAATGGTTTACTCAAGTTGGCCAAGCATCTTCTGCTACGGAGAATGCCATCCAGACGATCAACTACACCTTGAGCACTCATCAACAAGAGCTTCAAGGCTTGCACCATGAGATCAAGAACGTTTCTGACACCATGGAAGCCACCTTGCAGAAGACATTGGCCAACCATCAATCTGATATGTCATCAGACTTTGCTGCCAGATTCGACAAGCTTGAGGCGATGTTTGCGAAGAAGCAACGCAGTGAATGACTAGGGGGCTACAGCTCATTGACTCCAGGTCTGAAACTCCTCAGCGGCATCGGCCGTTTTCTTTTCTTTTTGGGGCTTTTGCCAATTGCTTTTGCGAATGAGCTCTATAGCACCATTGATGTTCCGTATGTGGCAGTGAACGTGAACATCCCCTATGGTGTGCAAGGATCAGTTGAAGAATTGCTGATTCTGACCCACATGCCGGACATCTCAGTTGGTGATCATTTGGAATTTCATCATCACACAGCCACCACTCCACAAGTTCACCAATGTTTAGAGCACTTTTGGAAACCACGGTGGACCTGTGAAAATTTGCAAAAGTGAAGATACATGGCAACGCATGGCCAACTTTGTCCAAGCGTTCATGCCCAAGTTGCCTTTGGTTGTTCCTCCTTTGACGGTCGAAATGTGGAAGAAGGCACTGCAACGTTTCAGACCTGCAGCTGCGCGTGGTGCGGATGGGTGGGCACGTTCAGACTTGCTCAACATGTCACCCTTCCACACTAAACAGCTGATTGCGCTTTTGTCTGCAATTGAAGACAACCAGACTGAGTGGCCGAAGCAACTTTTGGAAGGATTGGTCATTGCCATTGCCAAGTGCGATGATGCACATCGCCCCAATGAATATAGACCTATCGTCTTACTCTCCATCATCTACAGATGCTGGGCTTCTCTTAGAGCACGGCAGATGCTGGCACAACTGGAGATGTACATCCACAGTGATGCGCATGGTTTCCTGCCTTCACGTGAACCGGGGCAAACCTGGCTTCATATTCAAGCTGCAGTTGAGACAGCCATCCAATCCAAACAGCAATTGGCTGGCATTGGCACTGACTTTGTCAAGGCTTTCAACTGCATCAGTCGTAAGCCACTCTGGTTTCTTGCGGAAGCGGTAGGGATTCCAAACACCTTGCTGCATCCATGGCGAAGTTTTGTCCAGAAGTTTACCAGACGGTTTGTGGTATGCAATGAAGTCAGCAACGCCCATCTCTCCACCAGAGGTTTTGCTGAGGGTTGTCCTTTGAGCGTGTTGGCAATGGTATTGGTTGACTGGAGTTACCAATTATACCAGATGCATTTTGCTCCGGCTGTTCGCCATTTTTCGTTTGTTGACAACATCTCCATGTTGGCTCGTCAAGCACATTTGGTGGCATGGGCTTTTTTCACCTTGCGTGCTTTTCTCACCATGTGGGGCCTTACCTTAGATTTAGAGAAGACTTATGCTTGGGCCACCACAACTGAAGGCCGCAAGCAATTGGCCCAACTGAATGTGAAGGTAGTGGAAGACTTTGGTGAACTTGGAGGTGCACTCTCTTTCACTGCAGCGCATCGAGTGCGTGCAAAGCGGGGTGAAGCACTGCTAGAGCGATGGCAACACTTGAGACGCTCAAAGGCGCCACTGTCACAAAAATTGAGGATTCTCCCAATTGTCTTTTAGGCAAAGGCGATGCATGGCACTCTGAGTTGTCTGTCCTCGGATAGCCATGTGCACAAACTTCGCACACAGGCCATCAAACATCTAGGCCTTCAATTGGCAGGAGCAAATCCGTTTTTGCGGCTCTCACTGGCCACACCGGCAACTGCTGACCCAGGGTTTTATCAGCTGCGCACAGCGATTTTGGACTTCAGAAGACTTTGTGCAAAAAGCCCTGATTTGCTGATTTACTGGCGGGGCTACATGGACCGCTATGACGGCACTTTGCGAGACGGGCCCTTCTCAAAGATCATGCTCATACTCAATAACATTGGTTGGAGAGTTTGTGAACCACCAATTTTGCAAGATCATGATGGTTTTGAGTTTGACCTTTTTACCACTGCACGTGGGACCATCGACATGTTACTCCATGATGCATGGCTCCAACACGTGGCTACCAAAGCCAACCACAAGACCATGGAAGGTTTGAAGGGCATTGATCCCGCACTTACGCTCTTGGATCACGACAAGCAAACGGCAATTGACTTGGCACGAACCCGTGCACTGCAGTCTGGCGCTTTCATCTCCTCGTGGCACCATTCGAAATTCGACAGAACGAAGCAGCCCATTTGTCAGCTGTGTCTTTTACCTGACACCCAACGACACTGGTTTCGCTGCCCCAGGTTTGCTGCCCAACGAGAGGAATGTGCTGATTTTTTGTCATGGGTCGATGAACTGCCTTTGTGCGCTTCGATGCACTTACTGGCGCCAAGATCACCTTTTGTGCTGCCTCTGAAGCGCTATTTCATGGACTTGCCAGACACCAGCCGAGAGTTCAACAGTGCTCCCAGGCCTGGAGTCACAAACCATGTTTTTACGGATGGTTCTCATTTCACGGGGATAGTTCCTAACCTTAATAGGTCTGCCTGGGCTGTTGTTAATGCCACCAATGGGGATAACATAAGTCATGGTTGTGTCCCTGGCTTGCTACAAACCATTGGAAGAGCTGAACTCTGGGCGCTGATCTCGGCTGTGGAGTGGGCCATCACTTTTGAGGCTGAAGTTGTGATCTGGACGGACTCAGCGAGCACTTGCAGCAAAGCTTTGAAATTGCTGCAGAATGACACCCAGCTTGATGATGGAGATAACCAAGACCTTTGGCAACGACTTGCAGCTGCATTGAGGCAGACTTACGCTGATCAGATTGACATTCGCTGGATCCCTTCACATGTTGACATTTCTCTTTGTGAAACCTCACATGAAGAGTTTCTGGCAACTTGGAACAACATAGCGGATGTTCAAGCAGTGCTGGCAAACCGCCACAGGGGTTCTGACTTTGAGCGCTTGTTGGCGGATGCGGCTGATTACTACAAGGAATGGGATTCCAAATTGCATATCTTGCGCGATTTCTACTTGAAAATCGCGGAACAGAAGACTGAACCACTGGATCGGAAGTGATTGATTTGACGGATGAATCCGACATTTGGATTCAGAAGATCTCAGACGTTCCACTGGGTGATGCTCTCTCGGTCGACTGGCAACATCAACTTAGATTGCGCAGTGAGTCTCTAGCACTGCCAGCTGAATTCGTTTCTAGTTTGATTCAAATTTGCATCGCTGAGGAGCCGATGCAACATAATTTTGTGGCAGTCAGTTTCTTAGAATTGGCTCTTTGGATTGTACAAATTCTCAACGCACAGTTTCCTGTTGAGAGAACCAAAGATGGCCAATGGATTTGCAAAACTGCCCAGGATTTATTTTTGCGGCCAACGTTGGCATTTGTGGCACAGAAGGTGCGCCAGGGTCTCACACGTGGACTCAAGGCCTTGGGATTGACAGATTATCTTTGTGTTGGTTTGAACAGGCAATGCGCTGGCATCATTGTTCCTGTTGACGGAGTTGTGATTTCAATCCCACCTTCAGTTGCGGCTGACATGAGCCGTAACTGTAGTGACTTTTTCCCACATCAAATGCGCAAGGCAGCTGATGTGGCGAGACCGATCGCATAGACCTGTCCGAGGCGGCTGCGGCACTGCTGCTTTGCTGTGCCCAGTTGCCACACAACAGTCCGATATATATATATATAATTATATATATATATAAATATATAACAGCAATGAACATTCACGACGTCCAATTGAGCCAACCAATCAACAATTATTACAAACAAGTGACAAGTATCAACCATTGGTTATAGCTATTATTAACTATCATTAACGCTTAATTGTTACCATGGGTAGCAATGGTTGTTATAACCAATGGTTATCACCTCTGGTCATTTGTTATCAACTATATTGCCAACTATTAATCATTGGTTAAAACTCTCTTCTCAATCCATTGCCAATGGATATTCTTTTAAAAATCAATGGTTAATTCAAAAAATCAAGGGGTTGGTGATTTAAAAAATCCATTGGTGATCCATTAGCCTTGGGTAAACCACCAACCCCTTGGGTATTCTTAAAAAAACAACTCTTTCACGGAAAATTTTGCTCCAAGAATTCGCTCTCACAAGGGTGCGGCCGTCCTTTGGGGCCATGGTGGCATGAAAACGGCCATGAAACGATGGGGATGTGAGCAGCAAAACCATGGGACGATTTCATCCATGGACAAAACGAAAGAGAAAACACCATGGGATTTGAGAACATGGAAAAATCAAGAACAATGGGGAATTCCGAATTCAACCAAGATCAAATGATATCAAATGATACCCTGGTTGGTCATCAAAATCGAACATTAGTAGCCTGCTTTGGTTGATCATAACTGAAAGCTGACTCATCTGCAGTGAGTGCCCATGATTGATGCTAAGATCTGCCAGAAGTTGACTCATTCGCAGGAACCCACAGCAATAGGATTTTCGGGTGGTGAAACACCCCCAGTTTCATGATTAGATCCCAATTTGGCATATATATATATATGTATACACAATATGTTCATGCTTAAATACCTATAGGTTTCATAGAAACCTAAGGCCATTTCTATACGGTTGAAGCATCATTCCTGCCTTCTCCCCATCCCCGGCTGCATCCCCCATTCACGACGTCCAATTGAGCCAACCAATCAACAATTATTACAAACAAGTGACAAGTATCAACCATTGGTTATAGCTATTATTAACTATCATTAACGCTTAATTGTTACCATGGGTAGCAATGGTTGTTATAACCAATGGTTATCACCTCTGGTCATTTGTTATCAACTATATTGCCAACTATTAATCATTGGTTAAAACTCTCTTCTCAATCCATTGCCAATGGATATTCTTTTAAAAATCAATGGTTAATTCAAAAAATCAAGGGGTTGGTGATTTAAAAAATCCATTGGTGATCCATTAGCCTTGGGTAAACCACCAACCCCTTGGGTATTCTTAAAAAAACAACTCTTTCACGGAAAATTTTGCTCCAAGAATTCGCTCTCACAAGGGTGCGGCCGTCCTTTGGGGCCATGGTGGCATGAAAACGGCCATGAAACGATGGGGATGTGAGCAGCAAAACCATGGGACGATTTCATCCATGGACAAAACGAAAGAGAAAACACCATGGGATTTGAGAACATGGAAAAATCAAGAACAATGGGGAATTCCGAATTCAACCAAGATCAAATGATATCAAATGATACCCTGGTTGGTCATCAAAATCGAACATTAGTAGCCTGCTTTGGTTGATCATAACTGAAAGCTGACTCATCTGCAGTGAGTGCCCATGATTGATGCTAAGATCTGCCAGAAGTTGACTCATTCGCAGGAACCCACAGCAATAGGATTTTCGGGTGGTGAAACACCCCCAGTTTCATGATTAGATCCCAATTTGGCATATATATATATGTATACACAATATGTTCATGCTTAAATACCTATAGGTTTCATAGAAACCTAAGGCCATTTCTATACGGTTGAAGCATCATTCCTGCCTTCTCCCCATCCCCGGCTGCATCCCCCAGCATCCGCATCCCCCAAGCCGTCTCCTGTGAGCCAATGCGTGGCCTTCCCCTCCCGCAGCTCACTGACCATGGCCGAGGTGGTTTCGAAGCCGCCGTGCATGCAGATGCCACCCGGGTGGTTGCGCAAGATGTCCATCATGGCTTGACCTGGACATCTGAATTTCAACCAACGACAGGTGGTTTCAACCAACAAATCACCAAGAAACATAGGACGTAACGTGACAGAAAACGGTCTTGACCAAGGAAAGAATAGGACTGAAGTTCATGTTTGGTCGATTGACCTGACATGTGGGATGGGTTACAAGACCATGAAAAGAAACTGTGACTTTGGACTAAGAAAACATGTTGTTTCTTGGGGGCATTTGGCTTTTAAGCAAGAAACTGCTGTTGAACCAAATAGAACACTTGGAGAAGCAAACATGTTGGTTTCTAGCCAAGGAACATGGGGGATAAGATGGGTTAACCATGGTTAACCAACAAAAAAGGAACTTGCAACATCAACATGTAGGATATATAGGATATGTAGGATATTCATCAAATATTTGATATTGACTGTGCACTTCAAAAAATTGGGATTCACCCCACTTTCCCATGGTGCGAGGCGGGGGGATTTCGCGGATCTCGCTGTCCGAAGGGCTATCCAAAGTACCGCCCTTGCCGTGCTGCTCCATCCTGAGGGGCCAATTTTTGACCAATTCACCAGGGAAAATATGGGAACTTTGGTGAAATATCCCATTTATTCATATTTATTCAGCCTTATTCACCATCAAAATGGGATTTAAGCAGATCAAAAATCATATAACTATATATCCCATTTATTCAGCCATCTTCTTTCCTTGCAGATAAGATCTCACAATGTATCCCTTCATTGTTTCGCTTCCACATAAAGCAGTGATAGAATTGCATCTGTAAATATGGTAATCCCGATTAACGCGGGGGTTATTCATCCTGGGATTGAACCATACAAACTTGGCCAGGGGTTTGCCATAATCTATGCGGGAAATCCTCTGTGGGAACTCAAACTGTCAACCCTTGTAATTGTTCAAACCTAGGGCATTTCATCAACAAACATTGGAAATTAAGTTGACACCATCAATATGTGGATCTAAACCCCACTGGCTTGTTTCTGAAATCCAAATTTCAAATCAACTAAATTTTAAATTGGTGATTCAACCCTCTCCAACATGGACCTTTTCGGCAAAATGTGAATTCCGGACTCCAAGTCTTTGTTGATCTTATATGATCTTATCATATTAATTATCGCAAGTTGCCACTTGATTGTGGAGTTTGCGGCGTTGACCCCACAATCATTCTTGGGTACCACCAATGGCTCCGCAAATGGTCAGTTCTCCCACACTTCTTTACTAAACCCCAAAGTTCTAAAAGAAAACAACAGTAGTTGCATTGGATGTAATTAGTATCTAAACTCCATGTTTGATCATGTTTTGTTAGTGAACACATGTTTCATATTTCCGAACCCATCTTAACCCCATATTCTCGTTGATGAAACCGACCTCTGGCCCTCTGGCTGCGGTTCAACCCCCTTTCCGTTGCTCCCCGCTGCTCCCGAGACGCAGCCGGGCGCCACAGGCTTGCCTCCCATGCGGCGACAGATCCAGACCGCCGCTGCTGAAGGCGTGGGCCCAGTGGAAGGGCCCAGTGGAAGGGGCCACGACCGTCCCAGAAGCTCTTCCTGGGCAGCGCGGCGGCGTGGTGGCGCGGGGGAGCTTGGCCACGTTGGGAAAATTTTGTTATAATGTATATTGGGAATTACATGGGGTTGGCTTGCCCTAGTTGTAAATCTATCTGATCTATCTATATGATCTATATTGTTATATGCATATATGTGTATATATACTTATATAATCTTATATAGTTATATAAATATATGGTTGTATGGTTCCAAATATCTTCCCGGGAGGTATTTGGGCTATTACTAAGGGGGGTTATGTGCCTTCTCAGAAAGTATTTGGATCCATCAGGGTGATATTGGGAAAATATTGTTGTAATGTATGTCTACATATATATATACACATTCAATGTCATCCATTTTTGATATGATATACACACAAATATATATATATGTGTGTGTGTGTCACCATTTTTCACTCCCATTTCATCATTTCATCAGGTTTTTGGCTTGTTTTGGTATCGCTCCAGGCGTCTCTTTGGCGTATTCCAACAAGCCCTCGGACATGAGGTCGAAGTTGCTTCCGATGGTGAGGCCGTTGGAGATGTTTCCTGAGTGAGCTCTGTGCTTATACAAGTGATATAGATAAACTATATTTTAATGTATATTGTATATATATATATTTGTAAATATTGTATATATATACATACACATTCAATATCGTCCATTTTTGATATGATATATATATATATATATACAAATTTATGGTGTATATATATATATGATATATTATCTTATATATATAATATGTATACACTATATGTTTTTCTTGGTGGATATGTATGCACGGGTGATTGGCACTTTTATCTCCACCGTTTAGAGATGCCAAAGC